TTTTTGACAAAAACGACATGCTATAGCATGACTTTTTTTTCTGCACGCCAAAACTCAAAACGACTTCTCTTTGTGAAAGACTTTCCTGAGGTGATTTCTACGACATGCATCGCACTATTTCAACTGTGTACTACATCCTGACACGTTTTGACGACATTCTGAATCATGACCTTTTTTGCCAAAAACGCCATAGTATAATATGACTTTTTTGTTGTTGTTTTGACTCATAACTAAATGTGAACAAACCTAATTTTAATTAGTTGTATAATTTATTTTTTCATTTTTTTTTACATGCAGCTCATGCAGTTACTCTAATAAGAGGTGCAGCTAGTTTATATTTGGAGTAAACTGTTGCAAACATTGAGCTTAGCTTTCTGCTATTTCTATTTTAAATCAACGCTCATGGCAAAGCTACACTTCTTGTATTTTTTTGGGTTTGGCTTTTAGTTTTTTGAGCTAACACAAAATTCACTTTCACTACAGTCTTAGTAGCTAAATCTGGAAGGAAGCATCCATTGTCTTTATTTGAAATTACTGTTCCTTCAATGAAATAAAATGAAACTTTTGCAACTTAATCGCGTTAATCTTACTTTGAAATCTGTGTTTGTGTGTGTTGACAGAATGGCAGCAACAGCGAGGGCCTCGAACATGGAGCGTCCGGAGCTCGGTTATGAGAGCATGAGCCACTTCATCGTTGATACTGACGACCTTGCTGACATGCTGAGGAACATCAACTTCTGCTCCAGTATGTCCAACACAGAAGTACATCTGTTACAGGGTAACTAACACAGTGTGAGGTAGCAAAAACGCACACTCACGGACAATTTAGAATCACCAATTAAGCTCAACATGTTTTTGAACTGTGGGAGGAAGCCAGAGAACCCGGAGAGAACCCACACTGTACGGGGAGAACATGCAAACTCCACGCAGAAAGATCCCGGGTATCCTCACAGGGACGCGAACCGGCGACCTTCTTGCTGCGAGGCAACGATGCTAACCCCCGCTCCACCTTGCAACCCTTCCTATCACGTTTTCATCAAATAATAGTAATTAAAAAAAAACAAAAAACATTTTAGACTGTTTCTGTTTTCATATAAACTTCACACTGAGCTGATCAAACTCAAGAGAATAATATACAAACTTCCTGTGAAACAAACTCACTTTAAAGATTTAAAGGGGCGACCTGACAGCTGAGTGGTTTGGGCACAAACCACAGGGGCACAAATGCTGTCAGCAGTCAGTCCCCAGTCAGTCAGATCTTTAGTGCTTGTCATTCCCCTCCTCTCCTTCCCCACATTTCTTTTCTATCTCCACTGCTTCATCAATGATAGAAGCAAAAATGTTTAAAAACAAGATTTAAGACCAAATACAACCACATCCCTCCAGTATTCGGGGGCTTTAATCATTACTCACATAAGTTTCAAGTAGATTCAAATCACTTATCACAGCAGTTTAAAATCAGTGATAATGTCACCCCACCTATTCTAGAATAGTAGGTCCCAAATAAATGTGTCAAAGTCACCTATAGTGTCCTTTTCAGAGACATGGTTCTGTGTTTGTTTCTTCAGGTGTAGGGGATGATGAAGAGGATCTTGAAGAAATGGGAGAAGAGTCCGAATTTGACTTCCGCTCCAGATGTTAAGACCAAAAGAGAAGTAGCTGATTGCTCTTGAGTGACTTTTAACTTTCAAAGGTTGAAAATTTGAGTGAAAATGATTCTTTGGAAGGCTACAAGAAGGAGATACGGCGTGTTTGTTGCAGTGACTCTGGATCTCCCTGTTGACCTGTATTGATGAATCGATCAGGGTTTTGCTTGGCCAAGGCTTTGTGGTGTGTTTGATTTTGGTTTCGTCACACTCCTCACATTACTTATTCAGCTTCCAGTGCTCCAGTCATCAAATGGTGGAGAGCTGAGAGTTTGCAGAGTTATAGCAGATGCCTTTCTTCTTTTCTAATGTGTTTTCACAAACAGACCGGATACAGATTAGACTCCAGAGCCTGTTTGTGATACTTCGCTTCAGGGACCATTGTAGAAGGATTTAAATTTTTTGATTTAGTCCTGAATTATTGAGCTGTCTACACTTTTTGGTGGGACTGGGCGATCTGGTAAAAAAAACAAAAACAAAACAGAACACAAAACTAGTTTTCTTTATTGAAATCATGCGTTTCCACATTAACGAGCACCTTGTGAGGTGCGAACAAAAGGTTCTAATACTTCACCTATAACAAGATAAAGTTTGGCCACTATCTCCTTTGAAGTAGTCTTCTGCTAAGGTGATGGTGTTAATGTTTTAAATGCTCTCTTAAAGCCCCGTTCTGGCAACTTACAGATGCACGTGTGTGATTTCACCATGGACCTCAGACTTGCTCAGAAAGCAAACATCAGATTCTGGTTCAAACTGTGATAATCTTCACGTCTAAAGAGCATCACAGGTGACGGTGGTAGATGTACAGCTATCACTTAGAGAGCAAGCAGCTGTCTATGCAGTGGAAGAGCTTACAGTCTCCAAGACTAAGGAAGGCTCATTAGGTTGGCAGCATGACCAAGAGCATACTTGTTGTTTTGTTTGATGTTCAGGAGGTTGTGCACCATGAATTTGTCCCCAAGGATCAGATCGTATTTCTCCCTGAGGGAGAACATTAGGTGGAAACAACCTTAATTGTTCTGCACTTACAGAAAGGTGCTGCTGGGGAGTGTTCCAAATGTGGCAAGAGCAACAGGAGCATCTCTGCATATTGTGGATATTTCAAAGGGGATAGCAGCCAAATTTGAATTAGGTGTGGTTTTTGCTTTGTGTAGGCACTGACTCTGAGCTTCTCGGTTCAAGTCTAACAAAACTAAAACCACCACTAGTAAAGTTAGGATCCTTTTACATATTGTGAATATCATAAAGAAAAACAGCAGGAGCAACTCTGCAACAAAACTGTTTCCAACATGCCACAAATATGTAAATTAAGCACCGTGTCTGCTGTGAATACATACAGGTGAAAGCAGAAAGTGTTTAGCTGTGTTTTGGAAGTGAGATGGGAAACTGAGGATTTGGTCTGCTCAACATCTGATGATCCTTTTTCTGTCATTGTTATTGGTAAGTGTAACAACACAGACATATGAAATACATGAGGACAGAGAACTATTCCTCAGTGCTGGCACATAGCTCCACATCACTACTTGTGCAGGTGTCCTTTGAACAGCAGAGGAAGCAACATTTGACACATTGTGCAAGAACAAAAAATCGAGTCATTTGGACACATTCCCCAATCCTGCTCTCAGGTAAAAGTCAAATCCACAATTTAAAGAAACTATTAATCTTAAATTCTCCACCTACTGGCCTTTTAGTGGAGATTTCAAGCCCATCTCATTCTTCACCAGCTGTTGAACTTCTTCTCAGATGTCATGGGGGTCATTCACATCTAACAGTCAACGCCATCTTTCCACAGAAACTACTTTCAAAAAAAAATAACAAAAAAATCTAACTCTTCCTTAGTTTGCTGTAAACAATTCTCAATAAAATGTGGAGTTGTGTAATTGTAGTAACTTAACATGTATTCATTTAAATAAAATTCTATGGATATGAAATGTGGGTGCATTTAGTGTTTATTTATTAAGTAGCTGCAGGACATTGAGCTGATTGCAGCCTGATAAAGCAATCTGAATCTGCTGGTGTCCAACAGAAACACATGAGGTTAAAACAGTCAAACAGAATCATCTGTCTTCCTGCTGGACATAGTGTGATGCTGTTTAGTTCTTGCAGGAGATTTGTTTGTTCTGTCCTCAGCAGAAGACATTTTGCATGGGACAGCAGTAAAAACACAGGTAGAACAAATAAGTCCTCTGTTCCATTTAAGATAACCAATACTGATTGACAGTGTGCTATCATGTACTATAACTGGACACAGCTAAGTTGGATTCGTTCATATGAATTATTGCTCTGCTTCTCCTGCTGTCACGTGTCAAAATATCTACTGTGGAAAAGGCTTTTCATAGCTGAAGATGGAATATTAACGCTCTGGATCTTGCATTATTTGGAGTCGGTACACTCTTTTTTGTGTGTGTGTAACATAACAAGTGCATTTTTAGACCATAAAACAAGTTTTTCAGTTCACCAGACAAAAGGAAAATTGCCAGATTTGAACATACAGTTGTGTGAAAAGGTTTGGACAAATGACATATTGTCCTTATTTTTAAAGTAAAGACGAGTAAAGAGAAGCCCTGTAGCAAACAAACTTTTAAAAATGAACTAAAACAAGTACAATGCAAGATTGAGAGCTGTGGAGCATCCATCAGGGAAATGAATGGAACACAGCAGAGAAAAATAAAAGAGCAACTGCGGCATGTGCTCAAGTTTGGGTGAACTCAGACAGATTCAGCGACTTGTTCGGCTGTAAGTGACTGAAGGCAGGTCAAGAATTGTCATTTTTAACCGCTAGCTGATGACAGCTCGAGAGCTTCATGACATCTCTGACTCTTCAAACTTTGTGGCTCTGAAATGAAGCTAATTGATGTCTAAAAGCAGAAGGAGGCTATAAAAAGATACCAAAGTGCTTCCAGCCTGCAATTTCCACCGTCTGAAATGTCACAAAGAAATGGCAGTTAAAAACAACTGAGAAGCTAAAGACAAGATATGAAGGAGAGAGAAAACTTTTAGATAAAACTGCTCATCTGCTGGGCAGAAAGGAAAAGTACAAGCTAACATCAGATTGAAGAAAAGTGTCGGGATGGTTCGGCTGGTACAGAGGTGATGGTTAGAAAAACCTGCTAAATCAACATAAAAGTCAACATCAGAAATCTGCAATGCAACATCTGGAAAAGACAGACTTGTTTTGGAAGCAGGTGCTGCTGACAGATTGTTTGGCCACAATCACCAAAAGTGTGTTTGACAGAAAAAAAAGGGAACACTTTGCCTACTGTACGGGGGTGGCAGCATTCTGCTTTGAGCTTGTGTGGCAGCCAGAAACTCAGGAAACACTTCACAGACAGAGGAGAGAATAGATTCAATTAAATATCAGCAGCGTGGATGCAAACGTTCTGCATGATGATTAGCAACAATGATCCAAAGCAGATCTTAAAATCCACCTTGAACAAGAAACACAAGCCGAAGCTTTTGGAACAAACCCTCACAGTCCCCTGAACTGAGCATTGCTGAAACGTTGTGGATCAATCTAAAGATGCTGACTTAAAATCTGAGAAGTGAGAAGAGTTAGTGAAGTTAAAAATCAGGAAGAGGCTGCTTTGCCTTTCCATGTAAAACACATAGAACATTTTCTATTGGATTCTAATGAGGGGACATACTTGTCCCTGTCATAGTTTTCACTTTGATATTAGTTAGAAACTCTTGTATGACTTTGGATCTTTATCATGTTGGAATATTCGCCCTCTGCCAACCTGCTGCAGACCGGGAGTCATCCTGTCAGTATTTTAGTATACCCACACATTCATGGTGCATCTATACATGTTGTGGAAACAACACCTTTTGCTCTCATGCAGCCTCACATCATCACACTCCCACGTCTGTGCTTCACTGTCAGGACAATGCATTCACTGTGGTCGTCCTCGTCAGGATCAAGCCAAACATGCTGGACTCCATCTGAGCTGAACAAGTTCATGTTGGTCTCATCTGACTAAAGAGAGTGGACATTCGTCAGGCTTCTTTTCTTTCATTTTGGCAAAGTTTCATCTTGCAGTTTTGTACTTTCGAGCGAGCAAAGGTTTTCTTCTTGGACACTGTAGTGGCTGACATTATGAGCTGTCCTTTACAGTGCCTGAGCTGCAACAAAAAGTCTGATTTCCATTGATAACCCCTGTGCCAAGTCTAGGACACCCGTCTGTCTGAGGAGTTATTTTAGTCGGTTGGTCACGGATGTTCCTGTAACCTTTTCCCTTTGTGTGAAGACTCACAATCAGATTTTTCAGTTTGTCTGGCGACTCTTTTTTATGTGGAGTCACGATTCAGATGTGCAGATAGACACCGGCCATAGGTCCACAAAATGAGAAAGTTCTGGTGTTTAGAGCTCATTTTAGAACCAGGTTCATGCTATTAGGGAAACGGAAAATCACTGTTAGTTTCAGTAATCCCAGGTTTTCTAACTTGTGTGGCAGTGATCACGTGTTTTTATGTTTACTACACTGTGGTTCCACCATGGGGCCTGCACTATTTGCTATTGATTGTTCATAGGAGAAAATGCTCTATTGTTCAACTTTAAGAGGTGATTCACTTTTCAATCATGTGACATTTAAGCGATATTGCACACTGGTGTCGTATCCTGCACATGCAAACATGCATTTAAAGTGCCAACACACTGAAGTGTCTAAAAAGGCAAAAGAAGCACCAGTACTGACGGCTTCTGACGAAAGTAGTGCAAATCTGTCAGAGCGTGTTTCTAGATGTCCTTGTTGCGCTGCTGATGAATTGTAATCTTAGTAAATCTGCATGGCCTGCAGCCAGCAGCAGCAGCAGCAGCAGCTCACTGTGCATCGTACAGAGGGAATGTGTGAAATCATCTCTAACAAGACCACTTACGTAAAGCGAGCTGCAGCGTGAAGGATTCCCCTCATCCACTCTATCAGTGTGTTTATGCTGATTCAGTCAAAAGGCAGCAAAAAAACCCAAAACAACAGCATCCTCCTCCGTGCTGGGTTTGCGTGGAGCACAGGGACATGAGGCCGAGCAGTTGGAGAGTCACTGCTGATTATTTAGACGTGGGATGATGACACCGATCGCACCATATTTGTCTTTTGTTCTTGTACGCGAGGTCCCTGCAGTCCTGAGGGGGAAAGAAAAAAAACAAATAGGTGTTTACCATAATCCTCGGGACGACTGAATTTATCCACAGTGGACATAAAACAACAAAGATGACATGAAATCATACATTTATGTACATTATCCATCTGCGTTTCCTCATAAATCAGCCAGGATGCATGAAGGCCACATTTTGTTTTCTTTTTTTTTTTGCCTCCCACTTAATTTGTTTTGTTGTTCAGTAGAAAAAGCCAGTGTATTGTGTGTAAATATATCTCTCTATGTATAACTCACAGGAAGGCTATACGGTGGATTTAGCTGTGCATTCTGTATAGTGGGAGGGAAGGGAAAAAGATTTTGCTCATGTGTGCCTTCTTCAGGATTACAGCGCTCTGGAACCCTCTGTACACTTACTGCATGTTGACAGTTTTATAACTATTTAAGATGCTATGTAAATTTTAAAAAAAAGTGGAAAGTAATAAGATACAAACACATGGTTTCTTAGAAAGCTCAAGGAAAGTTTGCATGTTTAATAGTTTGTTCCACATACATATGGAAATCAGAATAAATGATCGTGTTAACACACGCAACAAGCGGCTTATTGTCTTTCTTTTATGTATTGTAAATAGAAAAATCGATTTTTTAAAAATGCATAAATACAGGACAAAGCCAGTCGCAGTGAGCAGGATGCAGAGATGAAAGAGTGGGCAGATAAGCTTATTACTGTAGGTAGTATGGTAAAGAATTTGCTTCCCTGGTGTGGGGGATGGGGCTTCTGCTGGAAAAGTGTGTGATGGATTGTGAGTAGTTGCACAGAAAACCATCGACAACGGATGTTTTGAGTTCTGCTTACTGTACAATAAGTTAATGAAACCAAACCAAAAACCAACAAAGCATTGATCTTCCTAACTAATACTGTGTGTGCATTCTTTATTCCTCTGTACCTCAGAGCTCTGTTGTTGTTGTTGTTGTTGATCAAAAGCTAATAAAGCGGAAGAATGAGCAATGCTGCCATAAATACTCACTAGAGTCCCAAATGTGTATTAATCCATGGCTGAAAGTGGTCCAACAAATGCACTAATTTCTCGTTGGAAACAGAGCCAAGCTTTTTAGCTTTCTTAGCCTTTTTTTTTTTTTTTTTTTAACCATGCTGCCATTGTGGCTCTAGAGTTGTAATGTTGATCCATCACTTTGATCCAGACTGAAAAATCTCAACATGTATCAAATCAATCACCATGAACTTTTGAGAAGACGTCAGTGATTCACAAATGATGGATCCTGTTACAGTTTTTCTCAGTTGCTTTGGTACATTTCTCGAATCATCCTCGACATTTGTGAAACAGTAAGTGCACTTCTTAAAACAATTAGTACAAATAGCAAAACACCATGGATTACCTGCAAAAACAGCTACTTGCTCAAAATCCTTAGTTCATCTCTCAAAACTAGACATCTGTGTCAATGAACATGTCAGTGCCATCAGAAGGACAAGTCCTTGTGTCAATGTGTACACATAAGACAGTCAAATTGTTTAGTCAAGATTCACATTTATACTTTTACTGTTTGTACTGTAATTTGTTGACAGACCATGTCGTTGCGATACAGAAAGGAAAAGACAGCACTGCATAGCACAAAGAAAACAACAAAAGTAGAAATGTGAACATAGGACAGTCTCCTTAGAGAAAACCGTGCTGTTGGAATTACAGTGTAGTCTTCCTCTATACTTTTTCTCAGTCGCTTTGGTACATTTCTCGAATCATCCTCGGCATTTGTGAAACAGTAAATTCACTTCTTAAAACAATTAGTACAAATAGCAAAACACCATGGATTACCTAGACAAACAGTTACTTGCTCAAAATCCTTAGTTCATCTCTCAAAACTAGACATCTGAGTCAGTGAACATGTCCGTGCCATCAGAATGACAAGTACTTGTGTCAATGTGTACACATAAAACAGTCAAATTGTTTAGTCAAGATTCACATTTATACTTTTACTGTTTGTACTGTAATTTGTTGACAGATCATGTCGTTGCGATACAGAAAGGAAAAGACAGCACTGCACAGCACAAAGAAAACAACAAAAGTAGAAATGTGGACATAGGACAGTCTCCTTAGAGAAAACTGTGCTGTAGGAATTACAGTGTCGTCTTCCTCTATACTTGCCAGTTGATGGCTCATACAGTTTTTCTCAGTCGCTTTGGTTCATTTCTCAGGTCAGAATTGAAATTCTCAAAACTAATTGTTCAATCTTTACATCATTGTGTCACTTGTGCACATCAAAAAATCTGTTTTTCATTTCCTTGAACAAGTTCTAAATGCTTTGGTACGTCCATGCAAATGATTATGTACAGTTCTCTGCTGTTTCCTACATTATCAACCGCTAATGTCATGTTGATCAAAATGTATTATAATGGGTCTCTGTTGAATGGTCTCACCCCCACAACATTTAGACATTAGTTCATCGCATAAGTCTTTACATGCAAAATGGTTCAACAAGTTGTCAGAATATGTCAAGCCCATTTCTATACATTTCCATGAGACTTTTTTTCCCCTCTAAATTTCCAACAGAAGTGGTTGATTTCTTCTTTTGCAGGATTGTTTTGAAACTGGGGTTCTGAATACGGTCAAGAATTTTAAAAATACATGAATATCTACGTTACACTACTTATAAGTTGTGATACATTGCAATTTTGCATGTGTAAGTTTGGGAGTGTCAGTGTTTCTTCATAGAATAAATAAAAAAATCTTTCCTACAAGGTGTTACTTGATTTTGCATCACCTCTTATTTGTGGTAAAACTTGCTGCACTGTGAGTCTCTGCAGATTTTTCCGCAGAGCTTAAAGGATGGAGACACACGTTTGTCACTGCTTTGATCTACAAAGTGATGTGTAATGGCATTTGTTAAGCACAATGAGGGAAAACAAAATGTACACACACACACACACACACACACTGACGGTGATAAGAAGAGTCACCAACACACCCACAGTTCGGACTGACTCACAGAAACAAGGGACCCAGAGGCCATTTGGACTTGTGTGTCTGTTTCTTCTTCTTCCTTCTCTCCCTCTTATCGGTAGCTGTTTCTAGATGGAGTCTGGGTCCTCATGATGGATTGTATGCTGTAATTTCACTGCAGTTGAGACGTTAAATCAGTGTTATCCAACTCAGCAACTGTAATTAAGTATTTAGGTGTTGATTTTATTTAACTTGCTGAATTTGTGGCTTAAATGTATTTTCAGGTCCATGAATACAGAAAACAGGGTTGTCAAACTCTGCTGCACTGCTGTGGTCTTAAACTGGACTGTAACAGCTGAGTAAAGCTTGTGCTGTTGGTGGCATCAGAGGACATTACTGAAATTAAAATATTTGTGCACTCTGACGGCCGAGGAGTTTAGGATGTCAAGTGCATGGACTATTCAGGCCCAGGAGGTCAGGAGGGTTCTGGTCCTCACCGACAAAATACTCCAGAAAGTGACATAAAATGGCCACAAAGAAACACAAAACCACATTAAACAGATGCAAAATGAGCTGCAGAACAATCGCTAAGAAACATAAAAGGACACAAAACAGTCACAACGCGTGACAGAAGACCAACGCAAAGAGTTGCAAAATCACCAGGGATCACAAAGCAACCTGAAAAAGACACAAATTCACAACAAAGAGACAAAAAAGCGACCACAAAGAGACACAAAAACAAAGAGACAAAAAAGCCACACAAAGGTATACAAAATGACCACAAAGGTATACAAAATTACAGAAGTTATGCTAAATGACTACAAAGTTTTGCTAATCGGCCACCAGTAGATGCAAAATGACAAGGAAAAAAAAAAGTAAACAACTACAAAGACACAACTCTGAACAAGAAAGGCTTAAAATAAATACAAGATGCAAACCAGTTACAGACAAACACTACAGAGACTCACAACATCTGTGTGATACACATTTAAAGTAGTTTAGTTTTGGGGTTCTTTTTAATATCTGTCCTTGTTTTATGATGCATCCATGGACCAAAGCAACCTGTGTGTTTCTACACTTTATCTGATAAAGGCAGAAAATATTCTAAAACACTCAAAGAGTGTATTACCAGGGGGGATCCAGAGTAAATATCCATCCATCCATTATCTATACTCTACTTAATCCTCACGAGGGTCGCGGGGGGCTGGAGTCTATCCCAGCTAACTTAAGGCGAAGGCAGAGGACACCCTGGACAGGTCACCAGTCTATCACAGGGCCACACTTAGAGACAGACAACCAAGCACACTCACATTCACACCTACAGACAATTTAGAATCACCAATTAACCTCAACATGTTTTTGGACCGTGTGGGAGGGAGCCAGAGAACCTGCAGAGAACCCACGCTGCACGGGGAGAACATGCAAACTCTATGCAGAAAGATCCCGGGTGTCGTCACCAGAACATGAACCGGTGACCTTCTTGCTGCGAGGCAATGATGCTAACCACCTTGCAGCCCCAGAGTAAATATGCTGAGCAGAATTATGGAAGCTGGTTTATGCTCAGGATGGTGCAAGAGAACCAATCTGCTCAGTGAATTAATCAGATAGTTATGTCTTAATAATCCTGTGTTTACTGAGAATATTTGACCTGATGCTGGTGGTTTACAGTCACCCTGAGCTGATGAAGTGAAAACTTTGACCTGATGGTGGCGCTACATGAAAGGTCACAGAGTTCACCATCATCAGAGGGAATCCTCCTCTGGGGGACATGAATACCTGAACTAAACTTGAATTGAATCAGCTAATAGATGACAGTGGTTCGAGTCCTTTAATCATGCTGCCCCTGTAGGTACGTTTTCAACACTTGATGACACTTAAACCAAACAGCAGTCAAAAAACTTGTATTTCATAATTAACACACAGTGAGTACAATAACGGAATCAAAAGCAATAATTTTTACTTCAAACTTTTTTATTACAAAATATAAATGGCAAAAAGCTTTTCTTTTCTTTTGCTAAAACAAAGACAAATGTGATCAGGTGTCAGACAGTAATGTTTACAGGAAAATAAAGCTTTTTTTGTTCTTTTTTTTTGTAGGTTAGCATGCTACAGTTGATACAGTACAAGTGATAGTGCTCCCGCTCAAAGTAAAGGGACCTGAAAAGATAATGAAAGGAAGGAAAGTGTAGATGACCATCAATCTGTCCATCAAGTTTGCCCAATAGATGCGGTGACAGTGATGCAACTGAGTGGGAGAGACAACAGTGAGTTTACTGAGTCTCCACTTTAACTGACAGATGGAGGAAGGCTTCCTAATTCTTAGAAAAAGGAGTCCAGAAACTTAACTGTATGCTTAAACATTTAAAGACACCACAGACCATGTTAGCACAGCAATGGGCTGTGCATAAATTTGTAGTTTGCCTAATTGAATTAGTCTGACTAATTATTATAATACTAATTTGTACTAATTTGTAGCCTCAGTCTATTATAAGTTTATGAAAGAACAGAGTTTATTTTTAGGTGTTTAAGTGTTTGAAGTTGAAGTTTATCCTCCAGCACACTGGAGAATGTGTGTGTTAACTAGCAGAAGGTTTGTAATTATTTGTTTGCCAGGACCAATTTGAATCTGCCACAACATTTACACTATGGACATCCCCTCTGCTGAGAAGAAATAGGTTTTACTTGCGAATAAGAAATTCAGATTAAAAGTCAAACTGTAAAGCAAACAGCTTTTTGTTTCTGGTAACATTTACACATATTCACACAAACCAGTAAAGCAACTTATTTCAGACACAAATTGAAAAGGATGGTTGATTTCAAAGTCAAAGGAGTGAAAATGGCACGATGAGCGACAGTTTCCCTTTTGCCGCGAGTCCACCGAAAGTCCAGTGTTGAGGGGATTGTGTGTCTGAAGGGTGAGGAGTGGGTGAGGTCAGTGGACTGGTGTGAGGGGTCTGAGAAGTCCTTTTCCATGATTTTCAACAACGTCTTTAAATAACACTAAAAAAAAAAACACACATTTTACTGGCGGTTGCTGTGATGCGTAAAATGGCACCATCTGTGCGTAAAATGATGTGGAGAGGAAGGCAGGCGCACGAACAAAAACTCATGTCAGAGGTCTGGAATACTGATACAGCGGTTTGGGCTGTTTGATCGAGGCAAAAAAGAAAAGAAAGAAAAATGAGAAGAGATTTTACTTTCCCACCTCGTCCAGCACTTTGCGGTTGAGCTGCGCCTGCTCTCTCTGGCTCTCCATCTTGGCCATCTGGATCATATTCCTCAGCAGGTGGAAGGTCAGGTCGATGGACAGCGGCGGCTCTTCGCTGCGCTTCAGCAGCTGCGCCGCGGTCCTCACCGCCTCATCGTCGCTTTCTTCTTCTTCTTCAGGCGGGAGCAGCTGGAGGTGGTCCGGGCTCCTCCTCTGGAGGAACCTCAGGATGTTGTCGCTCAGCAGATCTGAGGCGCTGCTGTCACCGGCGGCCGCCGCTCTGAGGAGCACCTCGTCCATTTGCTGCGTCTGCTGGAGGCGGCCGCTGCCATCCAGCCAGCCGGGGAAGGTGCGCGGTCGGCCGGCGGCAGGGCGGAGGTGTGATGAGAGGAGGACCGAGGAGAGGAGCAGGAGCAGGGGGGCTGGCTTCATGTCCTGCAACCAGAGGAATTAAGAAGATAAAATGATGTACAGACGGTTCACACAAATGCGTTTAGTAGTTTTTGGTGCCCAAAGTTGCACTTTACACTTTCAGACTTCATGAAGCCTAAATCTTGATCTGTTCAAGCAGCAAACTTGAATTTGGTCAGTAATTCTGACAACTTTAATAGTTTAAATTAGTCCATAATTAGAAAAGCAATAGCTTTAACATTTAAATTAACCTCAAATCCAGTAAAATCTTTCTTGCAAGACAATAAGATACCAAATGCAAATTAAGGAAACTCTTACATCTTCAAGAAAATTAAACTTTGCTAAAAGACAAAAAGGGGCAAAAAAAGAAAGAAAGAAGAAAATATAATTTCTATTACGTGCATTTAATTTGCCATAACACAGTTCAGTCAAAAGGCCACGATCAGATGACTATCTGAGTTCTATCTGTCATGTCTCCAGACACCGAAACTTTACACTGAAAAGAAAAAAAAAGAAAAAAGTATCAGAGTCGCAGCACTTACTTTATTGTCTCCAGATGCTGCAGCTGGACTTTGTGGTCGGCCGGTGAGCTGTCAGGTCGGTACCAGTCTGAAACGTCCCTGTGAGCGGCGACTGGAGAGGACCGGAGGGTTTTATACATCCAGTCTGCTCCTTTGACGTCAATGCGAGCACAGATACCGGTTTGGAAACTGGACAACTATCGAGACGCGAGGCAGTGCAGTCCCGAGGGACAGCTGGGGGAAGCTGTGATGGACAGAATAAACAGGTTTATTTCTTTTCCATCCTAGTTGGCTCATGAGGTGGGATGAGGTTCTCTCCCAGGGGTGCAGGAAGACAGAGGGGCTCTTGGAGGTGTCACTGTGGGGGTTTCTGGGCTGCTAAGATGAGGGATTGGCCACTGCCCAAATTTTTTCTCACATTATGAAACTCCTAGATTATTTTTGTGTGTAAATGACGTGTGTGGGTCTGTGTTTGCCTCAAATTCCCTCTTCAACTGGATAAAATATCGAAATTAAGTCAGTTAAACCGAGCTGAATATCCTCTTGTATTCTGAATGAGGAGCTCCTTGGACTAAATGTGATCAATCTAGAGCCTGTGACGGGAAATATTGGATCATCATAACCCTGCACTGCATTGAAATCAGGCAATGACTTTGACAAGCTGAAATCAAAGTGGAAAATTAGGAGGTAAAGGTGTCTTTGCAGGAACCAGAGCGCTGAAGTGATGCAACAAGAGGCAAAACACAATAAATCAGAGTCTAAATTCACATCCACCTGACTTTAAGGAATCTAATGTTTCTGACTAGGTTGTGCTACAGAGTAAGGCTGCCATGTGTTACCTCTGAACTATGAGTATAAAACACATTTTAAAGACAAAACATAAGCTGTGAACAGAAAAAAAAAATCCCTTTAAAACAGAATGAATGAAAGTGGGAGCTCTCCATGGTGCTGAAGCTGCCTGCAACTAGTGGTACACATTATTTACATCTTATAGGCTGACGAAACCAAAAGACTACAAGTGTTTACATGCAGTTTAACCCCCAAACATTTCACACTGGTACAGTAACCCACATGTTAAAGTTGGACTTGCTGGTAATTTTTGAATTTTGAAGTTATGCTCTTTACTCTGTATGCAGGGAGACAAATCCAGTAGGATCAAACACAGGGTTACAGTACATGTTGTGTGCATTCTCTGATTTTGTAATTAAAGGCACACTTTTCCCCACCAAGAACTCAAAAGCCCCTGAAATGTCCTTAAGGCCTGAAGAACATAAGAATCCACTAATATTGAAAAATGTTATTACAAATCCTTGATTGTCCCCACATCATTTTTATACTATGATACCTGGGGTCTGACTTGACTACAACGAAGTTTTCTGCTTATTGGTTTATTTTCTCTCACTGGTTTGAAGTGAGCAGCAAAGTAGTTTAGGTTTGTCGCAATACCAGATTTTCACTGCATGTTTATCATGGCGAAAAGCATTTACGATAGTATTATTTATCACTATTAGGTTTGAGTAGAGCATCTTGCTTTCATGCGTGATCTTATCTGGCATTATTTTTGCACAGCAGCAGCAGCAGCAGCAAAATATATAAAAGATCAGCTTATTGTTCTTGTTTTGAAGCCTCAAGTTTAGTATTTGGCCGTCGTCTTGGTCTTTGAAACCAGATGTACTAAGTGAGCGGTATATCTAACACTACTCATGGGGATATGATAGCCCCCTGTCAATCACAAGAAAACAAACCTTATTTTATGATCTCTTTTTCTTTATATGGGAGCATAAGATACAAAATGAAAACCATGACATATTAAGAAATTCCTCAATCTAGTAATTGAGACCATAAATTATTCAGGATAATGTTGTAAATGTTGTTGTTTTCTCACAGATTTCTATACAATCAGGATTCTTTTTGCAACCAGAGGAGTCGCCCCCTGCTGGCTGTTTGAAATAATGCAGGTTTAAGACACTTGTTCATTGGCTTCAGTTTTTAGACCTTCATCTTTTATACACAATCTATGAGCCAGTTACTACATTATCTTTCTCTTTTTTTGTTTTAAAGTGGACCACAGCCAGCATTACATTACAACACTTCCACCTACTATGTTGGAGTGTCAAGCAGAGTCACTGGCTGTGTGCTATTTATAATTTTATCATATGTGTATTATTAACATGATATCAGTATGTCATTGTTTAAATATCATTAATCATACAAAGCAGTAGATTGCAAAACGTGTCATTTAAACAACTGTAATTTTGGTTTAATTTAATCTGATCCCTTGATGTTGATTCTTGTAATGATACATATTCCAGCTTTCTCTCAATTAGACATAAATATTTCAAATGATCAATATATTAAATGTTTTAATTGGCTTTAAATGAGTGGAGCATCACTGCACTTTTAAGCAATGTATTTAAATCAGATGGAAAATGAAGAATTTAAAATAGAATTCTTGTCAGGAAGCTTTAAATGCAGCATTTACTTTGCTATCGCAGGCATTTTCAAGGCTAAACACTTCATATCTACAGTGTGTCTTTTTCTGTCTTCAACCTGCTTGACATCATCAGCGCAGTTTAATATGGCGTTACTACATTTAGATGATTATTTGAACCGAGCTATCAGCTCCAGCACCTCGTCTACAGGTCAGACTGCTAACAAGGCTCTGCACTGCTTCCTCAGATGACTACCTTGGCTTCACGTTAAAACACAGCCCGTCTAGGTGCTGAATCAAAAAATGAATTCCAGGTTTCTGGGGAGAGGCTCATTATCCCTCGGGGGGAAGAACGCTACTTGGCGGATTTTCAGTGGATTCGTCAGATGTTCTCCGCTTGCTTTTCCCTGATACAGTCCAAGCGTGTGTGCCGTTAATTTGGTTGGCAGCCCGGCTCAGCAGCCTCCACATCTCCCTCCAAACAAACCCCATCCCTCCACAACTAAAGTTAGCGAGGTCAAACAAACCATTGACATCAACTCATGTGAAACTTTATTGGCTTGTACACCAGAGATGCCCTTTTTGTTATCAAAGACGCGCACATTGTGAGTATAAAGGTTCTGTGTGTACTGAGGAAGAACAGAAAAATCTACACTTGAACAGCCTCGACCTATTCTGGTAATTAGAGGTGAATCTTCAGCAGCGAGTTTGACAGAGAAATAAAATCAATGACACGGATATAGGAACACTTTGTTAAACATGATTGTTCTCTTTCTCACAGACTGATGTCACTGTCTGTCACCAACTGTGATGCTGGTTAGTTTAGCTTACAACAAACTCTGGAAAGAGGGCTGAACACTGGCCTGTATCAGGTTTGTTTAATCCATACAAAAACTAAAATGTAAAAGCGACAAGACTGTGTGGAATCTGTTAGAACTTATTGCACCCTGTCAAGAACCAACCTTAGGTTTTTGTATGAACTGAACAAACAAGCAAGAATGTGTATGTAAGTGTTATCTTTGGACAGAGGCAGGGTAACAGTTTCCTTCCAGTTTAACATGAAAGACATGAGAACAAATCGATCGCATCAGCTGAATCTCGAAAAACTATCAGGTTTCATTGTCATACCATTAGCAGGAGAGAGGAAGACGTTCTTTACTAAAACATGTTGTTTTTTTACTGTCATGTGTTTGGATTTCACCCACAGGAGTCTCAACAAACTAAATAAATTGCAACCTTGAACAAATAAAAATAAATGGTATAATATAGGTAAAGACTGTAAGTTTCATGACCAAGACAATTTTCACAGTACCATTACAAAAAGCCTTTCCTGAGGATTGTCAAATGCAGAAAACTAACTAAAGTCAAAGTATTTCGGTGATTCAGGTGAGGAGAAAGTAAAGAAAACAAACATTTCAGTTAAAATCAGACTAAAGCAGTGAATGAGGAGAATTTTTCTTCATTATAAGACAGAACATGATAACCTCTGACCTCCTCCACAATCATTTCAATACGGTAAACATGTAATCGAAGTTTCATTTGCAACCAGTAGGTGTTAATGTATCTCTGTGTGTGTGTGTGTGTGTGTGTGTGTGTGTGTGTGTGTGTGTGTGTCAGCACCACTGCCAAATCCCATTTCCATAAATAACAAACTTTCACAGACATTTCTGCAAATGCAAGTTTGACTTTCAAGTGTGAATTTGTCATTCAGAGCAGACAAGCGCTTTCTCCCGACCTTTACGTGTGACTCAGTCACAGCTTTACACATTGGAAATACCACAAGACTAAGTGGCCTCAAGTAAGTTAGGTCCATGTCACACACACAAGCACTACAAATGAGTGTAAATTCTTCATCATCAGCAACAACAGCACAGTCCGGACTTGTGATCATCCTTCACATCTTATTGGCCTTCCAGGTCAGGTAGGAGTTCCAAGCAACAGCAACGACCTGGACGACGGCCAGCCTGCAAGGAGGAGGAAATGTGACGTGTTTAATCTGATCACCGGGGCGTCTGAGAGTTTCGTCGACGGGGAGGTTTTAAAGACAATAATAACAGCAGCTCTCAGGACAAATAAAGAGATTTTCACACATGAAACATGAATCACAAAAAAAATGTACAATGTTGTTGTTCCAAATATGAACACACACAGAACAAACATAAACCAACAAAAACTGAACTGATTTTTACTCTAAGATTTCAGATTAAAACACATAAAATACACAAACTTCACAAGATTAGATCCAACCATGAGTATATTAATAAAGCCGTAAAAGTCTCACCTGTGGTGGAGGGGAATGAAGTAGAAGTTGGCAATTTGGACTGGAGGCCAAAGCTGAAACAAACAGGCAACACTTAGATGCACTATTTACAAAAAATGATAAAATATACTACATATAAAATAATGTACTTGCAGGGAAAACTTACATAGTAATTAGAGATCAGTGCATCTGTGTAGTCCTGTGAACAAAGAGAGAAACGTAGTTGTATTAGCATCATAATGAATTATGTCACTTTTAATCTTCACAAAACAACTTCAGGCTAACAGGAGCTGATAAGTAGCTGAGTTAGTACAAAGTATTTTAGCACTAAAACGAGCTCCTGAGTTTGTTAAAAGCACCTTTTAATACAAGATAATTTGCTAAGAATTCAATCAGTTCAACATCAAAACAATCTCAGCTGACTGTTTGCACGACTCCCTCTGACTCCGGAAACGAATGCAGTTTGAAGCACAGATTACAAGTTTGGGTAAATAATTCAGTAATGTTTGTTGTCAAGCTCCTGTTTATGGATGAATATTTTATTTCACATTCACTGTCAGACCGGCACCTGTCACTGAGTAAATTCATCCATGAAACATGAGGTCAGTTCTCTGAGCTCCTCCGTTGCTGGCAGCAGCTTTATGGAAGACATCTTGAGAGAAAACATGTATTATAACTGTGAATGATAAGATAATATACCTGGTAAATAAGTCTTTTTCAATCACACATGATAGACCTTTGCTGTCTCCAGTTGTTGACTAAGGTGTGTTGGTAGTTGCTGCTAGTTGAGTGTGTGTTGATGTTTAATATCCGTACAGGAGCTTCAGGCCTCCTGCTCAGGTATAAACCTCTGCCCTGTTGAAACTGCCAGCGGGGGGCGAAGTGAGGGATGGTGATGTGCTGAAACTCCAGTTGGAGGGGAGTTTTAATCCAAAACAATCGAGGTTAAAGGGACTGTGAAAGCCAAGAATCTCAGTAGCTGGCCAAGTAACCCGCATGTATCCACATCTTTGTAAGACTCCTATAGATAGTTGAAGCACTGAGAAAAGTTTACTCTTTAAATGTAGAGTCAGCAATACTAATAGAATACAGGGAAACAAACAGACTGATCCACGGGGTTAAAGGAGATGGAGAAAAGAGGGCAGTAAATATGGCACATACCTACTACTGAGCTCAATATCAACAACTGTTCTCCAGAATCACAGCCTCTACCTTTAAAATAACACTCCATATCAAAGATGGATTCATATAAGCTCAGGAAATGCAAATCAAGTGAAGCTAGCTCTGTACTTATTGAGTTCATCCTCCAACATAGCTAGAAAAAATGTATAATTCGTTAAATTTATTCAAGAAATTAAAGTGAAGCTTGAAGCCAACAACTTGCTGGAGCATCACTGATTGTACTGGAGATTGTTTGGTGTTGCTCAGTGTGTTGGTGTTGCCAGGGTGTGGGTCTGATGGTTGCTAGGATGATGTGGTTGTTAAGCTGTTTTCCAAGTGGTTGCTAGGGTGTTCCATGTGGTGGCACTCACTGGTCACTAGGTCCGGTTACACACTGTGTCACTGCAAGTCCCAAACCAGTCAACGTCCTCGTGCTTAAACCTTTCTCTGTCTTTGTCCACACGAATGCAGATGTCTTGCTTCACGAATACATCCCTCTATGTTTGGGTAGAGGCCCACACGTGCCTTCTAAAGTGAAGATTTTGAAAGATTGGTTTGTGTATCCATGTGGGAATGTGCCACGGAGTTTGAGAAACAACGATGATACACCACAATTCAACCACGCCAAGTCTTGTGTAATGTGCATGTGCCTAAAACAACACGACAACCAGAGCAGATACACACTGCTTTCTTTACGTTTTGTATTGATGATGTGGCTGAGGAGGTTTGTTAGAGTGATTGCAGCCATTTTTGTGTTCTCCTGTGTTTGGAGATATTTTGTTAAACAATTCATGAGGACAGAGGAGGAAAATATTAGTTTTCGTGTGGACAAGGCCTGAAATAACTCCCTATTTACTCAGCAGTGTTTCCTGTCTGCCACTTTATTTAAGTGTATAAAACTGGTATATGATCTATACAGTGCCCTCAAAAAAACAGCAAACAAACTAAAAACAACTTTCCATAGCATTAACCACTGTATTCTATAGATAAAAACATTGCAGCTCATTCCAAAAAAACCTCCACTGGGTGTCTGATATGAAGCTAAGATATAAAAGGTGAAAGAATAAATGTACTGGTTCTGAAATATCAAGACCACACCTTGTACGTGGTGCTGAAACATTACAGACTAAATGAACTAACAGACAAGTACCTGCCTGTGTTACACTGATGGTGGTTGTGCTCCATAGCTGTGAATTGCCACATGAGGTACAAACATTCATGCTCCCCTCAGGATGAACTCTAATAGGTTTGGTGATTAGTTTCTCACCTAGCTCCACCTTTAGACCCAAACTTGTTCAAATTGTTTGGTTTCTGACTGAAGTAACGGCAAGGTTAATGATTATGCACTAAACTAAGGTGGTGTTAATGTTAGGATGTAGCTCACAGGACTATTGTTCCTCCCTGAGCTGCGAGCATGTCTGCAGAACTTTAGTTTTCGCTTAGTGTCGATTCACATCATCAGAAAGTTCATACTTATGTAGAGCATTAACATGTTTCAAATGTATGTGAATGGGAAAGAATCTAAATGTTAACGGGACAAACACACTGAGAACACGCATGAAAATAATTCAAAATATGTCTTGAAATAAGTGGAAATGTGGGTCGTATAAAGTCAAACTGAAATGATGAAACTAAGGGTTGTAGACGCAGACTTTACAGCCCCACATGAAAACAGTAAACATGAAAGGTGTGTGTTGTTCATTCACAAACTCTCTCTCTCTCTCACACACACACACAATACTGCCACACAAATTCCCTGTCATCAACTTAAAGGTCACCTCAACGTGTCCCAGCATATAAAAACAACAAGCCAATGTTCCAGTTACAATTTCTTTTCTGCCTTTTTTTCCAGGGTGAACCCGTTTTCTAATTACGGCTAAACAAGCTACTTTGACCACCTGAGGTGAAACTACGTCAAAATCTTTCCCCCTCGCACAAGGCGAGACATTTCCTACCTTTTCCAGAGGTTTCTAAGCTGCTTGTTTGCAGTTTATGCAGATACAGTGCAAAATATTAGTAAAGTTTAGCGGTTTAGGGATTTATGCTGGTTAAATTGAATAAAAGCAACATTTTATTTAATAGTTTAATACGAACTATTTTGATTTAACTTTCTTTGCCCAAAATTGAGTTCCCATTCAACACTAAATTAATATTTTCATTGGGCTGTAGGTGAGTAAGTAAAATAATAAAAAATATAATCAACTTGAATAAATGTTAATTTTGATTATTCTCAAAGAATGCAAAGCAGAAAAATAAGAAGAAGCCGCTTTCATCTGATAAAAGCTCAAACAAATTCCAAATTACATATCGTTTTAATTAATTTTCTTATCTAACAGTAAGATGACTCATCTCCCTGAATCGTTTTTTCCCCAGGTCTTTGTGGTAAAAAGTGGTAGTGAGGAAGTTAAGTTTCATGTTGTCTCTGCTCTCCAGAGCTTTCATAGCAGTTAGTCGTGTTTAATTACTATTTCTCTGTTACTTTACTTACAGAAAGTCCTCCTGCTTTTCCTGTGCTTTCTTTCTTTTTTCACCCACGCTATCTGGAGTGATTCTACTGTCAGTCTCTCCACCACTTTGGTACAGAAATTCTGCGTTGTGCAAAAAGTTTTAGGTACTGAAGGTGTTTAGATTCTTATCCATCACGTCATATTGTTGTCTGACTGGTTCTGCAGCAGGACAACAACACACAGCCAGAGTCATAAAGAACTATCTTCAGCAACAAGAACAAGAAGGACTTCTGCAACAGATGGTCTGACGCCCACAGAGCTCTGATGTCAACATTGTGGAGTCAGTCAGTGATCACATGAAGAGACAGAAGACACTGAGACACACTGAATCTACTGAAAAACAAGATAAGTATCTAGAAGAACTCTGCAAAGCTGTGTGAAGATTCTGTGAGGTTTTAAAGGCAAAGAGTGCTCACACCAAACATTTCCTTTCCACGGCACTTTGTATCAAACCTGCAAACTTCAGAGTCTTGAAAAGGGTGACCATAACTCATATTGGATAGGGGGATCTGGGTACAGGATCCTGCCTCATAGGTACTGTAATTTTAAAACACTAGTAAAGCCTTGTTGAGCACCTTGAGCTTGGAATGCATTGAAAAACCTGCATCTTGTGTGATGAACGTCATGTTTAACTAACTTTAATAATTCATTTTCATTCATTTTTGTTTAGATTTATTTACTAGTTTGATGAGATTTCTTATTCTTATCTTGCAACCTCGACTCATTGCAGGATGAGATAACTAGGATAAGACCCCCGAATCATAACTGTGACACATTAAATTCTACAATCTCCTTTTATCCAGATTACTTCCTTTTCTCCCGACTACAAAGCTGTGTATCAAAGCAATGAGTAAATACATGTAGAAGTTTTATGCAGCCGGCTGAGTCTCTTCAGGCAGCCTGTTCTCATCATATACCATTACAGGGCCATTTGAAGTTACATAACTTTGAATAACTGCAGCTGCTGAGTAAAGTGCAGTCAGTGCAGGTTCACTTCGCAGCCTGTAACATCTATACATCTATACATCTGGAGTCAAAAGCTTACTTTAACTTTAACAGGACAGAAACACTGAAAAGGAAAATTTGGTTACAAAAAAGAAAAAAAGAAAAAAAAGAAATGCAGAAACATCGATTGCAAGGCTCATCATGATTTGGGATTCTCAGTTAGATGAACATGATCGACTGTGATGCTGAAATTTAAAAACGCACCTCTCATAGAAAACTATTGGAAAGCTCTCTATGAAGACAAACCCACTTGGTTAAACTGCAGTGTCTATTAACAAGCAGATGGTTAACGAGTGAGGAGTTTTGGGTACAATCTGATTCACATTTTTCATTTTGTGAAGTATTCTGCTGCACATTTGTACATTAGCAGGAATATAACACGGCATGTAGGCAGAGCTCTGTTTATTTAATTGTGAGAGCGCAATAGAAGTATTTTGTCTCTAAAATCAGTGACTAATTGTAATAAATAAGCTCTCTCAAAACTGAAACATTCATAAAAATCGCTGTGATTATCATTTGGGCCGTATGGAAATATTTTGGCTACAGAAAAGATGATGATGATGATGAAAAACAGGTTTTCTGTCAGCAGTACAATCACCACATGAGGTCACACAATGATTTTGCTTTGTATGCACAGCTATAAACTATTTCACATGCTTTTGCCATATGAGACAGGTTTCAACCGACAGTAGAAAGTTTTTTAAAGTGTACAAAATCGCCTCAGTTATTCTAAAAATGACTCATTCTTTCCAAATAGATTACTCAAGTCATTTGGTGAAGTCTTTTTTAAGCATCATGCAGCCTAATAACACCGTAAACAAGCAACTGTTGTGTGCACACCAGCATCTTTGAACACACTTGATTTCATCAGTTTAGCAGTACAGCTGTATGTGCGCACACACAAAACTTATTATATTTAATCTGAGCAATAGAACTGGGATACAGCGCAAGAGTGAGCCGGCTCGGTGGCAGGTAAAGTCAAAACAGGTAAACAAGAAAGTCTCGACTGGAACTCTGAGCTGATTTAACAATCAGTCGGCTGTCTGGTCGGGGCCTCCATTAATTTTCATCTCACATTTCCTCACTGCCGGGCCTCGTTGTAATGAGCACATTTGTCATTTATTTTCTGTCCTTTCTGACATTTACCAGGTTGGCCTTTCAGGTCCACGCCTCTCCTTTTGTAAATAATTGATGGTGATCAGCGGAACGTTGGGTAAGCAAGGCGCTGACGGACGTTTGAGCAGCTGGCACAAGATGACAGTTAGCTCTGACCTGGCATACAAACACACACACACACACACACACACACGTATATATGAAGGTATGAGTCACTCCAGCTATTTCCACAGTCCCTCCCTCTCTCTCGTTTCTTCCTCCATCACAGGAAATAGTTTCTATTAATAATGGGAGGTGAGTGTTGGAGGTCAGAAACTGCACCTACGAAGAAAACCAAACTTCCTCTCTGTGTTCCGTCATTTACCTGAGCGATGTGTAGAAAAAACACTGTTCTCCAGCCAATTTGTGTCAAGTCCTGAATCTAGTTTTACTGCTTGAAGGTTACGCTCTTGTCAAAAATGTCGTCTTTTATGAATACTGCAGCTGAAAAACAAAAGGAGTGAATGAAAAAGACTGTGGCTTCTGCTGCTACTGCACAAAATGAAGCCTTTTTCCATCTACATTTTAAATATATGTTTTATTTTTCATTTTGTTAGGTTTAAAATAAATTATTTTCATGTACGGTGACTTACTTTTTCTGTGTCTTACTGTATAAATCCTCCCTTTCTCTCGCTATACACCAGTACAGTCTGAGTTGTACCTTTAATGTAACATTCATAAATAAAAAATGAGCTGAGGGCAGATCAGGTCAAACACTGAACTTTTACCTCCAGTGAAGGTAATGTGGATACACAGAAAGATTTCCAGGATGAACTAAACAACTTCACCTGCATCACTATCGTACCGATGGAGCCCTCAGGAGAGCTTAAAAATGAAAGTGGAGTTGAAAGACTCTTCTGATGACAGTTGCTCAGTAGCACACAGACTGAAACAACTCCTCACACCACATTGAGTTTTAGCATCTTTCTTCAGTCAAGTCAGTCGAGAGTTCACTTAGTGGAAACTTCTGTCGACTGCCACACATACAAACACAATAAAGTAATCTATTGCTTGTCTTGGCCTGATGCTGAATTGACGGATGGGGGGGTGATAATTGTCCCCATGAGAAAATCTCCTTTAGATTCTGCAAAGCTAAACCTGTCAGCACATGTGGGCAGACAACACTTGCAAACAGAAGACATGACTGAGTGACATGCTTAAAATTCTCACTAATACAGGTCCACTTGACTAAATGTGCCCCGCTGAGCTCTGTATCGTCTGTCTGATGGCAACTGTTCACACTCAGAATACAGAGTATGTGGTAGATCCAAGAGGATTCTCCAAGTAGTATATGCTGTTTGAAAAGAGACTGAAGATTTTAATGACTTCTCTACAACTTTTGAACCAAATGCATTAACTTTGATTTAGATGACACAGAAATGTTTCCAAACTTTGCAGTGAGTCCATACCTGGTTCCAACCTCTGAGACAGCTTCATAAGAACACAACCCATACTGACATCCATCCATCCATCATCTATACACCACTTAATCCTCACTAGGGTCATGGAGGGCTGGAGCCTATCCCAGCTGACTCAGGGTGAAGGCAGGGGACACCCTGGACAGGTCACCAGTCTATCACAGGGCTACACTTAGAGACAGACAACCAAGCACACTCACATTCACACCTACAGACAATTTAGAATCACCAATTAACCTCAACATGTTTTTGGACCTTGTGGGAGAAGCTGGAGAACCTGCAGAGAACCCACGCTGCACAGGGAGAACATGCAAACTCCACGCAGAAAGATCCTGGGTGTCCTCACCGGGATGCAAACCGGCGACCTTGCTGTGAACCGAGCCACCTTGCAGCCCCCATACTGACATGATATCTGTAAAAGGATTCACTCTCTGGAGAAATTGAGGTCAACATGAATATTCCAGATTAAACTGAGGTGAACAGTGATTGAAACTTTAAGGAGCATGCACTGGTAGAAATTCAGTACCTACTGTGTTTAACTAAGAGTGTCTGATCTGATCACTGCTGTACAGAAATCACACCAACCAACCTCCTGGCTGTGAGGACCAACAGCTAAAAGCTGTGACACAAAGGGACCAATAATGCTGTGATACACCACGATGTGCTCCTGGAATAAAGCTCCCTCACCCTCTTGAGCTTGGCGATGTTCTGGTCCACCGTCAGTCCGTTCAGAGCACCAGAGATGCAGAGGAAAGCTCCCAGGAAGCACGGAGCGAAACACACCTGGAACGACACAAACAAGAGGAGAAAGGAAGAGCTGATGATAAAACCATCACTGGAAGAGAGGGAAGAAGAAATCAAAAGATGAAAAAGAAGGAAAACCAACTAGGTTTGTCACTGAACTGCAGTGTCTCACAGCGATTATTTATTTAATGCTACTGATGCAATTAATCAGTGTGTTTTGACAAAAAAAATTGAATCAGTAAGAATTAAGGGACAGTGTCCCTGGCACTAGTTTAAAGAGGCTGTAAGAATCACTGTCTAAATCACTAAAGCTTCAACTGGCTGAGTGCAAAAGATGTGTGAACTCTCAAGATGATAAACTGAATGAAGGTGTTTGTTTATTAAAAGCACATGTACAAGAAAAATAAGGACACGCTCATGAAAAGTATAAAAAGCATTTAAAGTCAGTTTTAGTTGAAAATGTACCCCTTTATGTGTGCAGCCAATGACTTTTGATTGTATGACAGGAATCAGTTTTTTCTACTTAAAAAAACATTGCCCTATTTCAGTGCATCTTTAGTTTCTAAAGGTTTCAATAAAAGCTGATTGGAAACTTCTATTATTCATTGTTTCATGTCCAGAGTCGTCCCACTTATTTTCTGATCATTATATTTGGCTTGTTTTGCATTTTCGGGGCTCTGTTGGTTCTGTTTGAGGTCTATTACTTCTTCTGATTCTATTGCTAGCCACATTGTGGAAACTAACCAACAAAGAAGAAGAATTGAGAATAAAGAATGCAGATGTACTTAATGACGCTCCAAGTCATTTCGAAATCCTTTCCTCACTTTGGTAAACCACTAAAGAACCCCTGATCTCTGCTCAGTTGTTCACATGGGCAAACACAGCGAAGAGGAGCTGCTCCTAACATGAAACTTACATGAACAGTTTGCTGACTTCCTCCCGCTATTCAGGTCTGACGCATGAAGACGCTGCAGCTGCATCACCTTAAATCTTTCAAGTCGCCATATGGCACTTTGTCTGTTGTGCATACTGAGGCTGAGGGAGCAGCGTAGAGTCACTGCGACCACATAACTATTCAAGCGTAGGAGTGGATCCTTTGCTCCGGTAAATATTTCAGTAGAAGGAGAGATGAAAGCTCTGAAGTCTTGTTCTGTTGTGCTTTTAGTTTAACCTGCATCTGTCCTGACACGGTTACAACTAGAAAACCTCTCGGAGAGCGCAGACCTCCGTCAAGCAGCTCATTTCCACCATATTGTGATTTCCAGCCACTGTTCATGTCCTGTATTCATTTTATCTACACTATTAGATTCATGGAGCATCAAAACATACCTTTAGCATTTGAATTAACATTGATATCATTAACAACAAGCTGACAGTGATGAATGATCGTTCTCGCAAATGTTTTATACACTTATTTTTGCAGTTACTTACTGGCTTTAAGCTGTTAGCTAGTTGGCAAATTAAAATGTACATAATTTATGATGAAAAAGTTTAAAGACAATCAGAGATGGTCGAGCAAAAGGGCCCTGATGATTTGAGATGGAATGACGCATGTATGTTCCTAATCAATTAAAATGATCCAAATTTAAGCTAAAACTAAGACAGCAGTAATAACAAAGTGTGAAGTGAAAAAGCTCGTATATGTTGTGTGCTGCAGATTAGCTGCTAAGTGGACGTAGCAGAGGTTAAGAAATACTCATGAGCCACATGATCTGCCAAGTTAGAGCGACACAATGATGGGTGGACTTTGTTAAGGAGTAAAAACTATGAGCCACGTAGTCTGTCATTAGTGAGACAGAAAAATCAGTGGACTTCGATAGAGAGTTAAAGATCATGAGCCACCATCTGTAGAGGCACAACAATAAGCGGACATTGTTAGGGAAGTAGTCTTCCAAGTCAGCAAGAACGAGACCGAGAAAATCTAGACTTTTGATGACGACTGTTGGTGAGCTGGCTGTGTGTGTAGAAGAGCCACTAGTGTTCAGATGTGTGTTGTTGTGTAGTTTGTCAGGAACAAGCTATATAAGAGTTGAAATCAGGTTGAGGAACCTGAGGCCTTGTTCTGCTAATCTGAAGGTGAGAAAGCCAATCCAGCTTTAGTAGAATACAGGAGATGCATCTGGTTTTAAAAGGGAGTTTAGAAATGTTTATCTGGCACCACATTTTGAGGATACCAAGTTGCTGCAGTTGCCGCAACATCCCAGTGACAGGACGGTCTGAACAGGCATTGTGGTTTAAGTAGTAAAGTTAATCTTCTGTGTTCATGTCACAAATTTAAGCTGAAGTTAAAACAGCACTAACAACAAAGTGTGATGTGAAAAAGCTCTTATATGTTGCGTGCTGCATGTAAAAGTCATGTTGGGGACAGTGTGGATGAGGGTGTGTTGACTGTGCTCATTGCTCGTTGGCTTCTATCTGTATTGTGTTTGTTAAAAAACATGGCCCAGGCTAACACTAGTAGGCAGAGGTACAAAGAAAGCAGTATAAGAAAACGAGAGCAGGTGAAACTGACATGGAAGGCTAGATTTAATGATGTAGAACCAATTGAACTATGAGCTGTTTTTTCCTCGTGAGGAGGAACAAGTGTATTCTTTGGTAAAAAGGAGAAACACTCTTCGTGCCCACTGGAGAACAGACCAAAGGTTAAGAAAATCTTATGAGCCACCCAGATTGTATTCTACTTGCCTTATTTGAATGTTATTTATGTTGCCTCATCTCTATAAAGAAAATGTGAATTGTTTCTCAAATATGAGCATTTGCTGCTTCTTCTCTGTTTCTATCACTTTTAATGAAACATAACTGTACAGTTTTCCTCTGCCAATCATTCCTGCACTTCAAATGCAGTCCTCTTCCACTTTACGTTATCAGTCAAAGACAATATACAGTAATGTGTGCGTTTAAATAGTTATTGTATATATTTTGAGATGTAGTGTGGTCTAATATTTGTGTTATTTCTGTCTGTGTTACACTGTTTTCTTATCAGCACCGTTCACTGAGTCCTCATCTTAATTGGTTTGTGATTAATGTGTAAACTGGAAGTTATTATGTTGCAATTTTCAACTGGGCTCAATTAAGGAGAGTCATGGTGGTGTTGGTCAGACATACAAATTACCCAGAACATGACACCTTGTGATGGGTGTTTTATTTATTATTATTTTCTGATATTCTGTAGATAATAATAACAAACATTGTTTAGTCTAGACAATAATGGGCATATTACTCACTAATGAAAAAAACTGGTCATCTGTAATTTCATTATGTTCTATGCTGATATCAAAGTACAAAAGATGCAACAGATACATTTCACACTAAAGATTCGGGCTCTGGTTGGCAGCTCTCCCTCACAGCTCAGCAGCTCAGTACAAAAATGAACAAACTTTATATTCTCTTGACAGTTTCCTCTTGTCAGTCTGATACAAGAAAACTGTATCTGAGCAGTAGGGACTCATTCACCCTGTTAGCCAAAACTAATGAGCTGAGTCCGAGTGGAAGACAGATCCTCATACACAGAGTACGATCATATCATTGAGCTTGTCTCTACTTTGTCTCTTAGAAGAACTTCAGTTGAGTTTGTCTGTCTTTAACCAGCAACACCAGAAGAAGAGAGGACCAACAGGTGTACGTGTCTCACCTGGTCAACCAGCATCTTCTTCATAGCAGCACTTTTTGTTCCTCCAACCACCAGCCTGTCCAAAACTTTGTACCAGCTGCCGATGACTGGACCCTTTGTAGTAAAAGAAGGAAAAATTAGAATCATTGCATTAGTTCTGAAACTCATTCTTTTATAAATAGACACTAACTACACTGTGATTAGAAAAACGTTGTTGCTGATGCTGCACAAAATGTTAAATGAGGAATGTAGGGAATGCATGAAAAAGCACACACCAACTTTGTCTCTGTTAGTATTTACTACACTGTGGTGTACGCACAAATCAAATCGAACTGCACCACTTTACTTGTCCAACTCGGCTAGTTGCTGATGAAGAATGATGTTTAAAAAAAGTCCCAGCCTGCAAACTGATGGGATTTGTTCTTTAGGTTCGTTCTATATGGAAACCTCAGAAGTCTAAATCCATGTTTGGAGCATCATCAGCACAATGGTACTGACTGTTTATTTTGCTCATGATATGCCTTCTAGCATGTATAGAAGGAATAAAAAAAAAAAAAAAAAACAGCATATGGACATTTGATATTCATGGGAGGGCGTCTTTAAACATTACTATCTGCATGCTGGTTGCACACAAAGTGAATTAAACTAACAAATGGATTTATTATTTATGTGAGGGAGCTTGATACATGATGTATGACTTATGAAACCGTCGTGAATGAAGTTAAATATAGCCGCCAGTAAACATGTTGTTTCAGCATAACATTGAAAGCTCACTGGTGGAGCGTAAGACGATTACGGAAACATAAATAAACTTTGCTTCCGTCACTGTGATGCAAAGACATGTGCTACTTGGAAAATGAATTGTGCAGCTGTCACAGGACTTGCCTGGTGAATACAGGAATTCACAAGCGTACAAAGGCATGAATGCACACTGTCATGTGGAAAAGAGTACATATGCACAGGGGAACATCCATCTATTATCTATACACCGCTTTATCCTGTGTAGGGCCACAGGGGGCTGGAGTCTATTCCAGCCAACTGAGGGGACACCCTGGACAGGTCACCAGTCTATCACAGGGCTACACTTAGAGACAGACAACCAAGCACACTCACATTCACACCTACGGACAATTTAGAATCACCAATTAACCTCAACATGTTTTTGGACTGTGGGAGGAAGAAGGAGAACCTGTAGAGAACCCACGCTGCACGGGGAGAACATGCAAACCCCACACAGAAAGATCCAGGGTCGAGATTTGAACCCAGGACCTTAAACCACCATTTAAACTGTTCACATAGATTTACAAACCTGATTTAAGAAGCTGCTGATGTAAACTGTTTCCAAGAATATATTCATTTTGCTTTACATTCATGTACTCGTGTTAAACAAATAATCAGACACAAGAAGAAGAAGAAGTGTCTGTTTCAATGAAAAATCTGCATCTTGAGCATCCGGCTGATCCTGTGTCTGATATCTGCTTTTATCTGTGTTCTAATTAAAACTGACCACGACTAGAGGCTTGTTTTAGGTGGTTAAAATAATCAAAAGTCAATAATAAAAGGTGATATATGCATTTATCTCATCTTCTTCTTGTTTCCTGAATATTTTACGTGTTTGTGTGTTTGTTGTTTATGGAAAAATAAAGTCAAATTATCACACAGCTTGCCACAGTCCTACTCGTTTTTAAATACACTTTTAAACACAAGCCAGGAGGACACTCACCACGAAAAAGAACCCAATGCTCATCATCTTAGCCGTCCGTTGCACGTTGTGATGAGCCAACCCCCTCCTCTCAATCAGCTGCTGGGAGAGGACATCACCGACTCCCACTAGAGATCCTGGAAGACAAACAGAGTCCACAGTGTGTCTCCGTCCACTGAGCATGCTGGTACATGGACACGTTTGTTGCCGAGTGTCTGATTCTACAGTGTTGAGGAAATTACTGACTGATGATATCTCTCACTTGAGGGAAGAACTGCAGATGTGATTGTAAAGAGTTGGATTTACTGTGAGAAAGCTCCTGATATCATTTATCTGGGTAATAAAGGCACAAGATTTAGCAACGGTTGATGTGACTAAGAGGTTCAGATGACAATCTTGAGCTGCAATGTCCCTGGTTTGAGTCTAGCTTTGAAACTTTGCGCTATCTCTTGCTATGGTTTGCAATAGAGGCATAAAAATACATAAAATACAGTTTCAGGCTTGGTGTCAGAATTTAACAAAAAAAAGAGGCATCATTGTGAGCACATTGTGACACACAGCCCTGATAAATGTTTTATTATTAACACATCCAGCAGAAACACAGAGTAACATTGGTCTTTAAGCCTGATTCAAATCAACAGATGATAAACCTTGCACACAGATGTAAACTAAACGATCTGCTGAGGGGATGAGCTTCAGCATGAACAGCGTAGAAAAAAAAGGGAAGAAACAGCAGAAACTCCAGTGCACAGAAGGAACATCTAGATCATCAGTTAAAAGCTGTCAATGATTACATGAATGAATGTTTTTTTGTAATTGCAAAATCTGTACTTTATATCACTTCATTTCAGTCGTATTCAAGTTTGAAAACACAAATTATAATATGGATACATTAGAGCAAATAAATATTCACAAGGCATGCAAGTAATAATTATTTTTATTGTCAATTAGTCTGACAATTATTTTTATGGATGGATGAATTAGCTGGTTGATTCATAAAATTTCAGAAAATGATGAAAAATGTCTATCAGTGTTTCCCAAAGCCCAAGAGAATGTCCTCAACACTCTTGTTTTAACCACAGTGCAAACACAATCCGTTTACTGTCACAGAAGAGGACGAATTCTCAAATCAAGTTCATGATCTCAAAGAGGCTAAAAAGCTCTGCAGAGCTGGTGATACTTCTCTGTGAAGTTTTCAAAACAAGAAACATATTTCCATTACATTTAGTCATTTGATTGATTTCTATATAAAATATCAATTGTTGAAACTTAAACTTCAATTTATCTCCTTTTGGATTCAGCCTGTGAGTACTAAAGCTCTCAATCTGCAAAAAGCTGCAGCCCACCAGCTCTGTATCCACACCACAGTAACAATATGCAACCTGGTGCAGCCCACGGACCACTGTAACACCGACAGCACAGTGTGATAACACAGACCCAGCTGAACGACAGGTAACCTTTCCCTAAAATCTCACGGGAGAGCCGATAAATCAAGTCAGGTTGGACAAACGGACTCACGGGTAGAACAGAAAATGTCAATTGTAAAGCTTCAGGGGAATAAACAGAAGCATTTCCTCTGTGATTTTGACTCACGCACCTTGACAGACAGTAAATCAGTAACAGCTCAGAAACACACATTTTGTTTGTGTGTGGAGGTTGAAGTGACTGTGTCGCTGACCTGGCAGGTCTCATGAGAGTGATGGACAAAGAAACAAAGAAAGAAATATGGGGTTGAGCCATTCAAAGAAATATCATATTAAAAAAAATACTGTCCAAATGTGCAAATCCCATCAAGTCACACCTCAAAATGTGTTGCTGTAGACACTGAGTAGCCCAATCCTTTCCTATAAGTGCAACTCACCTTTCTTTCCAATTTTAATGCTGACAATAATCATTTTTTGCAATAATTAACATTGGCCAGGAGGAGCTTTTACAGAACATTTTAATGTAACAACAAAACTGACTTTGGATCTTTCTTGGTATAATCTGTCATCAGTTCATCATATTATCCTATTACACGTCTCCACATAACTTTTTTTTTTACATTGGTTGCCGCTAACTTTTTCATTTAGGTGCACCAGCACATCATGCAGGTGCATCCAAAACTTTAATCATCACCATCTTTGTCACTTCCCATACACACTGGTTGTTTTTTGGCGTTTTGTCTCTGTCAGGACAGATCTCTTGTGCATGATGAGTTTTTGGAGACATGGTGCTTTATTAATGTTTCAAATTGGACAGGAAAGGCACTGTACCCAACATGCTTTCACTGCACTCTTTGCCATAAATGTGAAGTGTAATGTGCCTGCAGGTTGAGAATTTACTTGAGGATGTGGGTGTCGCGGTGTGACCGATGCATGTTCAGAAATTAATGTAGTTTATAGGGGGTGGTATGACCTTCAGTGAAGCTACAATGTACAGCAACAGGTCCCTTAACGGTAGTCACTAGCATGGCCTCTAGTCCCCACTCTGCTAGTGAACATGCAACTCAGACAATGTCTAGGCGTTCTAACGTCAGATTTACCAAATCAAATGATTTTATCTACCTGTATGTGTCGTCTTGAGACACACACAGACTTGTTAAACGTCAAGGTGCACCGATGCATAGACCTGTGTTAGACATTTGTGAGAAGTTTTGTTAATAAAGGTGTGTTCTTGAAATATGGCCAAAGATGTGTTGTGTGAGGACACAGTGACCTTTGACCACCAAATTCAAATCGGTTTAATATTGAGCCCAAGTGAACAGACAGAGGAAATTTGAAGAAGTTCTCACATGGGTTTTAAGAAATATCGTATTCACAAGAATAACAGATGGACAACCCAAAAACATAACGTCTACGGCCACAGCTGTCCCTGGCACGAAGGCAGAGAAGAGCTTTACTAGCTGCAGCAGCACAATGTCTGCATAGGTTTAACTCTGTCTATCAAAGTAGCTGAAGGTTTTATTCTAAACTATATTTATAAGGCTTTTCTGGACAAACGTCTCACAAGTCTTTGCAAGGCTTCACAGAATAAATCTTTCAATTATAATCTTAGGTCACCAGATGTATATCTGCTGCCTTTTACTTTGTTTTTACCTTTGTTTCAGCATTTTGACATTCCTAGTTTTATTAAGAAGCATGTTTTGGTAAATGCTTTCTTGCCTTGCCTAGTATGAAGCTTTATACATTGCTCCCAGTTCTTAGCATTGTTTGATATGTGAGCCTTGTTCTTGTAATGCTGGCAGGCTGGACAGATCACTATGTAAAAAAGATGCTGTTAATCTTCAAGAAACTCACATGGTTAAATAAAATAAAACTAAAAAATTATAGTTGCTATTATCAGTTGTATTTACTCTAAGCATAGGTCTAATTCAACAAACAGAGTGGACAATTTTTGTTGGAGAAAAACCCAAATTATCACAAAAAACCTTAGTCTGTTTTAAGCCACCAAACAAAATAGGAATTATTTAAAATGTTTTTTTTTTTTTACTGTTGCCCTATTGGTCATAAAACCACACCGTCTGGAAAGACTCTTTCAAGACTCTGAATGCAGACTGATTGTGGTTGTGTTTTAACATTTATTTTACTTGTGAAATTAAATTTAGTCTTACAGTCTGGAGGACGAGGGCTTTGAAACTGTATAAAGGCCACAAACTCAAAAACTGTAAGAATTGGATTTTCTGTTCAATCTTCTAAACAGGGCCCTCAAAAGAGTCGCTGCTCACGTACATCAGACATCTGCCTCCATCTAGTGGGGAATAAACTGGACTACCAACTGGAAACCTCAGGCTGTTTAAAGCTGCACTGCCACAGCTTTTGTACCACAAAAATATGAATCAGTTCTTCAGGTAATCAGACTCACAGGGAGTTTAATTATGATTATCATTTGTTGTCAGGTGTAGATGCACAACAGCTGTAACATGCCTTTGGCGATGATGAGGAATCTGAAAATGTTGTTCTACGTGTTACATGTACATTTATAAACAAAGGTTTACATTTTTAGAAAACAGTTACCTAATCACACGCTTAAATAAACTCTGCTGCTGCCATTCTTTTTGTTTGCGCAACAAATCAGCTGATATTTGTTTATCTGCTTATTTCATTTGTAACCCACCCATTAATGGTGGTTATTTTGAATTATCTCTGTCAGCATACATTTGGGTTGTACAAAACACATCCTACAAATAATGACTTTATTGACAAAAGTTCATGTTACCAAAGCTAAAAATAGGCATTTTATAATTCCTCATTCTGACTGACACTTTCTAAAGACTGAAAAAGACTGAAAAAGTTTGGCATTTACTCAATGAGGAGGAGAAAATCTTAGCAGGCCTGAAGGCAGCAAGAGTTTCATATTTTCAGAACAGCTTTTTAAAATAGTTGCTCTGCTTTTCCTCTGATTATGCTTTGTTTACTTGTTGCATGCTCCGTGCCTAATCTTGGCCACAGTTCAACAGCCTTTTTCTTTGTTGATTCTAAAACTGAGGCCCAATGTGAACTGGAGTAACAGTTACGAGAGATGACCAGGAGTTGAACTTTGAGGCCACGTCTACTTGGCTGACTTTATCCTGAATTAAAACAGTAGTTTATGTGTTATAAAAATAACTTGTCTGCACCTCCTCTGTAGTTTGAAGTATGACATTTGCCTGCTGCCTGCATTTGCTTCTTTAGTGCAGACTAGCAGCTGTTCGATATATGTAATGTGTCAGAGAGTTTATTCTTACCAGCGGTCACTATCTGCACCGTCCAGGGGTATTTGCTCATCAAGGCCTGGTAGGATCTCCACAGACCTGCCATTCTGCCTTCCTTGGATAGAAAAGAAAAATAAATCACAATGGGGTATTTCAAAAACGTGATTTTCCACTTCCCCACCCCGCCCACCGTCAGGCAACGTGACTCAAATCAAGCAACCTACTAATCAGCCCCATTACGTTGTCCATTACAGCATCTAGATTAGTTTAACTAGTGGGCTTCTTTCAGACTGAGCTGAAGGTTGACCTCAAGAATTCCATGTACGACTTGGAAATTTTAAAATTTAGCCCAGACACCGACAATAAGTTTAAAATCAATTCAAACTGCTAGCTAATACTCTCCACTGAATTACATTTAAAGGTCAACTAAATATGACAAAGTTTAGCATCTTATTAAACTGTGCTTCTCGGTGAATTCTGTCAATGCCGAACTAAATAGTTTGCTCAACTATTTCAGTTACAAACTCTAATTAGGTTTTAATTGATGCGTAGTTTTATAAATATCCAAAGAAACTTAAAAATGTCATATTTTTGACTCACATTTGGTGCACCGGTTGGTCTCGTGCTGGCTAAGCTAACCTAACTAGCAAACTCTGCGGTGCTTTCAGAGCCTCGTTACCGACGTGGTTAAATCACAGCACTAACCAACCAAACCTAACTTGACTAACTAGTGGCACGGTTTAATTACTTATAAGATGCAATAACGCAAGAGTTACAAGCAACGTGAGCTGGAAGTGTCGGTTTCATAATGTTTGTGTAACTTCCTGTTAAATAATCTAACTAACATACCTGAGCTGTATATTTATGAACATGAACTCACCTTTACTGCTCAACGTGTTGCATTCAATGTCCGTTAATTCACTGACCACTGCAGTCAATGTAAATAAAATGTGTACATTCCTGTGAATGAGCCCGGCTCCAGTTGGAGATGCCTTCAGGGCTCCGCATCAACTCCGACTTTTGAGTTCTCCAAATCTGAAAGCGTGTCGTCCCTCATCCAGAGACATTCAGTTACACAATTCCTGTTAAAATGTGCACTCCATGTAAAAGTATGTGAGCGGTATTTGATGGACTGTTTGTAGTGCACTGAGAGAGGCTTATACTGTTTTAAAACAGTGTCAAAACTTTCACATGATTCTTTTAACATATGACAATTTCAAAGTACCTGTATATGAGTTTAAAACACAAGCTGCCTTAGTTGGAGCCTTTTATACTTTCAATAGAGGAATTTGCTTGTTTGAACGCAGCTATCTTTTACACGGATCACTCCTTTTTAAATGAAAGCCTACTGTTGTTAATACATTAAACATCAGAGGGTAAAGACTAATATTCTGGGTAGTTTTTGAGAATAAAACTTAAACTGTGCCACATTAATCATAACAATTTAAAGTTGTTACATTAATATATTATCGCTTTGTCAGGTACGACTTTTTATTTTTATTTTTTTTAAGTTTGCATTGGAATTTGCACTCGACTTTTTGTTTTTTTCCCCCCAAATAGCATCAAAATAGAAAGTATTAGTTTTGCTGTACGTTGCTCTGACTCCAGACCTTCAGCATGTAATAGCAGGAATAGCACATGCAGATTGTCCCATTAAATCACTCGTAACTTATTGGGACTCTTAGCTGAGCCATCATTAACATTATCCACTTGTATGTTTCCTGCAGTGACACGATATAACACCTGTCCCAGAATAACTACATCAACTTTTCTCTTGGAAATATTCCTTTTAAGGGCATGAAATCATTTTTTGATGTGTGTGTAAATATATATAAAGAAATGAAAATTATATTTACACTGTTTTGAAAATCAAGGTGCAAAATGTGAAACGGATGGTTTCCGACAGTATCTGAAGGCATCACAACAACCGAACCTGGCGTCACTTCCCCTGTAAACAACTAAACGAGGCCAGTGCTGCCATCCAGCGGTCAACTCCAGTATTACAGAAGAATCACAGAAACAGAAAGTTGGGCTGTTTTAAGTTATTATTATTTTTTAATTCTGTACAAATGAAGCTGCACATACAAAACCAAACTCAACAGATTTTGATTACAGTGAACATTGTGATTTAGCAAACACAGATGTAACTGATACTAATAAACTGTGGAAGGCCTTATAGAGTGCCTTAATAGAACAGAACCATTATTAGCTTTTAAAACTCACCAGTCTGCTTCTTAAGAACGCATCACTTTTTCCGGTAAACCACCTTCCACAAAAGTGACAGTAGCTAACATTTCATTCAAGTTATTTGTTGCAATCTGCGTATAATTACACGTATACAATGCGTTTTCATCGACTCAGAAGTTTGCATAAAACATGTATGGATGTAAACAGAATGGATGCAGTGTACACTTTGAGACTTGAGCATAGGAGGAACTAATGCCATCTACACAGCAGGTGCACCTATACACTTAGCAGCAGGTACACCAGCAAAAGCCTTTGAGCAGAGGAGCACCTGGAGGGAAAGTAGCAACTTTTAGTGCTTGTTAAGTTTGTGTTTGACAAGTTGAGGTCGGCACTGAATGAACCCTGTTGCTAAAACGATCTGGAATGAATGCAGAAAGAACATGAAAACAACAATATTTTCAAGTTGACTTGCTGTCTTTGAGGTGTTGGATTTGCAAAGAAGCCCTGCAAACAATAGAATAAATAAATAAAACATATAAAATGGCCATAAACAGCAGCAATAAGGGTCCCATCAGGGCCTGTTTCTGCATATGATAAAATCACACACGTAATGCTACTGAGACTTCAAGCCCATGACAAATTAGATCTGAGGATACCTAAAGAAAAACACAAGTGCTGTAGTTTTGTTTCAAATCTTGAAACTATATTGGCAAAACCATCTTTATGCACCAAAGTGTCATTTGGCCTCCTGGTTTCTAAGATTATCAGCTGCTTTAAAGAGCTTAGATATGAATGTTTCTGACATTTACACCAGTGGTTTATACAGTATAAAGCATTTGCAAGCTAAATATTGGACCAATCAGCAGCTCAAGCTCAGTTAAATATTGTTTCTTTAAAGCAGACATTTTTAAAAGCTCGAAAGTCTCCATGACTTTAAATAAAAGATGCAAAAAGAGGACGACTGTAGCTCTGTGTTATTGCTATGAGAACCTGGTGAAGTAAAATCTAAATATAACAAGTTAACATAAAAGAGGAAATTTCATGTCAAATCTTTGAACTTTTCACTTATCAGTTTCCTTCTTCAAGTACAAGTCATTGTTGTCCCTTTCAGTGAAGTTTGCCTGAGATAACATCATTTTAAAGTACAGACAGCTGCAGCATCAGCAGCAGAGCAAAGCTGTAGCACGCTAACGCTTACAAACAGCTTGAAGCTGAGAAGAAAACATCGTTACACTGCTAGCTAGCTGTAACACATTACTTAATACTACATAGTCGCGATAGAGACCTGTCCTTAAAGAAGAAAGAGTTATTTTCTGTTTGTGCAAAACATTGTTACATCATTACTGACTGATCGAACAACATTAAGAATGTTATTTTAACAACATCTGTTGAATCTAATGATTAAAACTGAACATTGCTCTAGTCAGGTTTTCCCAGCGAACCAACTCTCCAGCTGGAATTAAACCGATAAAATAGTTTTTTCTAACAATGTGTGGCTTATGAAGGTAAAGAGATTGACTGTGCAAAATCCTGAAAGAAACTCAGAGATGTTAAGGCTCCTCCAGTAAACTGACAGTATGTAAATTTAAACATCAATGCCGAGGGTTTAACTGTAGCAACAAAAACACATCACTGGCAACGTTAATAACATAATCGATTATCTCTCTCGATAGGTAGCTTCAGTTTTCCCATTTTTGAGAAAACTGTGGAATAAGTGAACTTGTTGTGAAAGTGTCTTTTGGAATCCAACAGAGGATGGACTGTATGTGTGTGTGAAAAGGTTTCAAAGTCAACAAACATCCCACATCTTGCAGGACAGGTAACACTTTGACCTTTGGCCCCTTTAAACTTTGCTGTAAACTTGGATGGGGTATTGACTGAATCCTGCCAGGCACAAATCTCCTCACTGACCTGATCAGTAATCACACTGACCTAACAGCGAAGCTCATTCTACTGATGGGAAGCAGTTTGTACAGCGTCACCTCACTGATCAGGAGGATGTTGACGGGGCCGAGCAGATGGGAGCCGGATGGTCTGTTTCCAACTGTTTTCGTGGCTAAGTGCTTTTGTAACAGCCCTCCATCTCCGTGATTGGTCGTCTCCTCAGAAGTCCATCCCCTCATCGCTTTCACACCAGTCTGACGGAGCATCGGTGCCAAAGTAACGATCTCCAAAATTACCTGAGAAGAAGAGCAGGTGAAATGAGACGGAGAAATGAGGAGGGTTGCAGTTTTTTTGTGTCTTGTACTTTGGTACTCTTGTAACCTTGATCATGCTTCCTGTGGTCACACACACAGACAGATGTGATAATTACTGACACGTAATTATTATCATACAACTTTCTAGTCAGCTTGGAGTCCACTGGGACACGTGGACTCCCGCTTACTCTTAAACCCAGAAAGTATAAAGCCTTAATTATTCTTCTACACCACAGATGTGAAGTTGTTGCTGTTATACTGCTCTTCCTGTCTGCTGGTGTGTCACACATACAAAATACGTCATACCCACACATTCTGTGCATGCACACTACTGCTAAGCATGTGCACTAATGCCCTTTGTAGCACAGATGCAGTGCAGACACAAATTTTGAGCTGTACAGGGACGTCTGCAGAGGAGTCCGCACAGAAAAGCACAACACTGGCCTAAAAATGACATTGAGCCTCAATTATATGCCCTTGTGAACACGAACAGCAGCAGACACTACAGATAAAGTGTTGATATTATTATACTATTTTTTTGTATGCTTGGAATTCACTGGGAAGACGCTTGGACTCTTGCAGACTTGGAAGATGACAAAATCTACACTAAGTGGACTCTAACGGATCGTCATGGACCCTTGCAGATGCAGAAAGTATATTAGTGGCCTTAGGCTCCTTTAGTTGGTGTGTCTGTTTCTGTGTGTTTCTCTCTGCTCTCCTTTCCTACTTTCCCTCAGTCCAACCAGTCGAAGCAGACAGCCACCTGCCTGTTGGAGGTTTCTTCCTGTTTAAAAGGATTCGGGTTTTTTTCCAAAATCACCAAGTGCTTACTTAAGGAGAATCACTTGATTGTTTTGGGTGTCTCTTTATACAGTAATATAGTTTTAATTTTATTAATATAGTAATAATATAAGGTCTTATCTTTACTATGTGAGGTGCCCTGAGATGACTCATGTTGTGAATTGGTGCTTTTTAAACACACTTAAACTGAATCCAGCTACATGAGATGCAGGTCTGAAACCTAAGCCCTTATGGCAGGTTTGAAGACTTACATGTTGTTGTTCTAAATGATTTGAATAAACTGCATTTGTTAGGCTTTTTTCCATTAGCAACAAAGGATTTAAACATTTATTTCATCCTAAACACACACTGTATAATTCTTAGCAGTGTGTGTGGGCATCAATGATCACAGAAATACTTCTCAAGATTCAAACTGGTGCTGGATAACAAATAAAGTTTCCACAAGTATTTCTGTTGAAAAATATTTTGTGACTGGGTCTTGGGAGTAGCATGTACGTCGGCCTTGAGTTTGACATGTGCTTTCGGCCAAAATTGCTGTTTAAGTTGTGAACATTTTTGATCAGGATCCTCTGACTATGTATTTTAAATATTTGTGACCATGACGTGTACAGTCAGGACAAAAACATTTCACCATGGATTGGGCAACATCTAAAATTCTGTGGTCACAGCAGGTGTATGTATTCAACTGTCAAACACTAAGCAGCTCTGACATCGCTAGGTTTTGTTCAGAAGTGCTGCACACTTGATAGTTTTCACCCACAGAGCAGTACGGCAGCAGTTTTTGACTCGACATATTTCACTGGTGATTTACTCTTTATTACCTATACTGACTGATCTATATGTCACTTTTTCTTATAGTCCTCCAGTGGCTGCCAATAAAGGCTAAAAATAAATTTTACAGCTTTGCGCCGCTGGCTGAGCTGTACATAACTGAGCTGTTGAGCTCTTACAGTGGTGCAAGGTCAGTTAAGTCCTGGTTTTAAGGACTCTGGGACATCCTTGTTCCAGTATTAAAGCCACAGGTGATGGTGTCTTCCCTGTTCAGGACATATCAGGCTTGGAATAACCTCACATCACCTGTCTGATAAACCGATTTAGTTTCAACTTTCTGCAACAGCATAAGATTTGTACTTACTGTGATATTTCTGTCTATGCATTTATTTATATTGTGTGTCTGTATGTAACTGAAGATTAAATAATATCTTTTAATTGTCTGTTGAAAAGTGTAACTTAATTCTCCCAGATGAAGAAGAAACTGTATCTCCTCACCAATGCCTGGTATGATGTGGAACTGGTCGTTGACCTCTTTGTCCACAGCAGTGGTGATGATGCGGACTTTAGGGAATGCGTACGCCACTGAGTGGACGCCCATCTCTGCCATTAGCAAAGACAACAGAAAGATCTTGTCCTCTGCTACATCGTGGTCCTTCATAGAGGAAAATAAAGAGAGAGAAATGCTCATTCAAAATGAAGAGAATTATGTTTTTCACAGAATACCAGAAGCGGACATCAACATTTTGCCATTAAAGGGATGGGGCTGGCCGAGAGCCTAGTTTTTATCCAGTTATTTCTGTAAAAATGAACATGTGTCAAACTAGGCACTTTCCAAAAATGTTGCACTTTTCCAGCATGCCACTGAAGACAAGCTTTACCAGAAAGCATAATTTGGAGATTATAAAACTAAGTGTTTTTGGAAATGAAAGCGACAGAGTTGCGTTGACTTACCAGCAGAACTCTGACGGCCATGAGAGCAGCAGCTCCGGTGGACACGGTGCTGTCCATCAGGATGACGTAGTCTTCACTGATGTCTTTGGGTAGACGAAGGTAGTGAAGCTGGAGGAAGGACACAAGAAGATATTCTGATATTTACTACCTGAGCTATGTGATTTATGTCAGTTAGCGTTGGCTTTTTTTGCTAACTGAGGAAAAGTATATGCGCAATATCAGTGTTGATGGATAGAATCAGTATTGGAAGCCAAAACAACCCAGTGCTAATAAAATGCATGTGCAGTTCTCAAACTTTGCAGAAGCAGCAAAAACACATTCTCTTTGAATCAACACTTGAATCTGCTTTGTGAATATAGGTGACAGTGTACGCAGCTGACACAACGGCTGCAGTGTTTAAAACACACATACCTCTGGTTCTCCAGTGTCATGGTTGGTCTGAATGAGGATCTTTCCAAGTCTGATGTCTTTACAAACTGCCATCAGAGCTTGCTCCATGGTCTCCCCCGCTCTCAGGATAGAAACACCTGTGATCTAGAACAACAAATATCCTGGTGATGTTTACTGGGGTATGCAGCTTCTCTGGATCTGACATCACTCAATGATCAATCATCTAGTATCTGCTTGACATTCCTTAATACAGCAGGAATTGCTGTAAAAGACCTTCAAACTTGTTTCCCAGCATTTTTTCTAGTTCATGATACTTGTGATAAAACAGAAAGTTTCCACTTTACATCAACAGCTTGTGTTTGTAGTATCATCTTTGTTCTCCCTCTTATCTCCTGTTTATGTCTCTAAGACGTACATTAGAGGTCAGTAAGGGACAGAACAGCTGGGAGGCTTGTCGTGACCACAAGGATACATTGTCAGCCAAATAAGCAGACTTACTCTTTTACCGCTCAGCCTCTTGCCCTCATAGACGCCACCCTGAGGCGTCTCCACAGACACAGGCTGGAGAAGGCGAGAAGAATGTAAAGGAAACAAAATGAAAAAAACAAATATTGAAGATTGCAGTTAAACCACTGTGGCAGCTAGTCGCTACTGCTACAATAGAAATGTTACAAGTCAAGGTCAGAACACTAACTGTGCACCAACACACTGTAGAACTCAAGCAACAGCAGAGAAAAGATGTCGCACCTGTTTATTTTAATAACCAACCTTAGAATGAAGTGGAAGCACAAGGTCAGTTTACAATCTTCAGACAAAAACTCACCTTGAGAGGCAGGAAGGAGAGAGCATGTTCTATCAGAAGCCTCATTAATCTCTTGGAGTAGAAGATAAACTCGTCTCGGTTAGTCTCCTTGTTTCTACACAAACACACACAGAGGGCAGGAGTAAACAGGATGAAAAGATTACGTGTCTGGTAAGAAATGGTTCGAGCTTGGATAGTTCAGGACACATCGTCATCCTTGCCTGCTATGGGATTTTTGAGAAAGCGGTTCTATACACCACCTGTCCCCTCCCAGCTGATCTTGACGCACACATCACCTTTCTTAAATGACAGTCACACTTTGGACAGACAGCTGTACCTAATCTGGAAGCAGTGCAAGTCCCTGAATCTAGAGACGTCCGATACATATTGTTAATGAGTGACAGTAAAATAGACAGATTGGTGCAGCGTCCATCGTAGGTGTGGTACCGGACCACCGGGATGAAGAGGGAGCTGGTTAAAGCTCTTGATTTACCAACCCTCACATCTGGACATGAGCTCTGGGTCGTGAACAAAAGAATGAGAGTGTGGACACAAGTGGTCGGAACAAACTTTCCAGGCAGGACTAACTGGGAGGTAACCCCAAGGTAGACCCAGAACTCACTGGAAGCATTACATATCTCATGTGGCCTGAGATAGCCTTGGGATACTCTAGAAGGAGCTTAAAAATGTTGCTGGAATGGATGGACATTGGTAGTGTGAGAGTGACTTCTGACCTGATGATGGTGTGCATGCCGCGGACCTGCGGTGTGCTCTCCATCACACTGAGGGTTTTGGGTAAAGGCTGACCCTGGTGAGCCGAGGCCAGAGCAGATCTGTTGAATAAAAACACACATTTAGAAACACAAAGTAAGTGATGTGTCTATCTCAGGAGTATTAAAGTAACAAAACTCCAACTAAAGATGGTAATAATCACATATTATCCTGGGTTTGAGTTTTAACTATTCAGATCATTTGAATAATTTCTCGTTGAGCTGAAAGGTTTTTAATTCAGGATTAAAGTAATACTTTTTGAAGGCAAGTACTAGCATTAGATATTCTGATCACTGCAGCGATCAGTTAGATTTATAAGCCTGCTGACTTGTAATACCTTTGAATATGACTATTTCTTTGCCAAAAAGACATTTAGACAACCAGGAGATAATAAAAGTGTTTTATGACACGGTGTCCAAACCTTCCCTACATACATAAGTAGGTGATGTGCTACTATCTTTCTAAGCAGTGATCCAGTCAGCTGACTGCTGAGCTGTAGCTGTCTTGCAGTGTACAGCAAGCAGTCATTATTTAACAAACCATCTCTGGCTGCTCTGATGCACAGAGATGTACTTTGATTTTAAATCCTTAAAACTCATGTCAAATTAACTACATTACCTTTCACTACACAGCATATATTAGATGTATTTCTGTCCTGAAAGAGGGATCATTCCTCAGTTGCTATTCCAGAGGTTTCTTTTAAGTTTTCTTCCTGTTCAGGAACAAAATTATCATTGTAATATTTTTGCTTTTTGCAGAGTTTTTGATAATCTGAATTGTAGACTGAATTGTACAGACTGTAAAACCTCCTGAGGCAAATTTATACAATTTGGGAAACCACTTAGAAGCATCAGACTGTTGTGACAGAAAAAATTATCGACTCCAAAACAGCGTAAGAAGCTGAATAGCTCACCACTTTCTGCAGTAGCTACTTGGGTTTACTTCTAACTGACTTTCCATTATTCTATTTCATGCTTAATGGCTTCCTATGTAAACACAACAGAACCATGGTCAATGACTTAGACTAACGGAGGCACGTTGTTTATCACACTGAATACTGTTTTCTTTGTTTTGGTTTTACAGTGAACCTACTTAAAAGTTTGTCATAAAACTCCTGACTTTTTGTATTACCTGGTTTCTACACATCTAATCTAAGCGTACCAGATTTCAGTTTGATGTGTGAACGTGCTATGTACGCATGGTGCAATTAATTGTGATAAAAATAAGTATAAAGTAGGTTAGAGGATACTCTCGCTAATTACAAAACAATATAACAAAGAGCTACTTGTTTCAAACACCAGGAAACAAAACATTAAAAGGTTTAATGAATGACCTGCAAATTTTCAAAATATCCCTACTAGCCACTACATACAGTACGCTGCTTCCAAAACACATGCTGACTACGTGCTGTACAGAACAGATGTTTCCAGATGTTGTTTAACTGTTTAACCAGGGGCTGGTTTCACAAAGAGTCTCTGTGTCACTTAACATTGATGTTCATCAGTAGCACAAATCTGTGTCGCCATTGACTTTCTTCATTAGGACACAGTTAAAAAATGCAGTCTATAGTAAGTATTTTCATTGTTCACTCCATTATACTGCTATACTATAAACTGAGTAAAGTTTTTCAGTTTTTGTCACCACCAGGTGGCACTGTTTTGTTTTAACTTACAACAAAGATATCAAGAGAAAGTAGTGACGATAACTGTTCAGGATTACAGTTAAGTGCTCTAACTCCTGGTGTACTTGAGCGTGCCCAAGTACATCAGTTCAATTTACAGCATCCTCGTGCAACTGGCCCCTGATTCCAGTGTTAGAAGAGCTGCTGTGATCTAAAAGCAAAATGCTGAGTCTGATGCAACAGCTGGTATTCCATAATTAAGCCATTCTTGCTAACAGGCTCCAACACAAGCAACCCAAGGTGTTGGTACTTCAACTGTGAGGTGTCTGGATTCAATAATGTCTTAAAGGTACTGTCTGTCCTTCAGGACATTTGTTTTTTTTTTAAGCAAAAGAAAGGCGTTTTTGCTCTAGTATCACTTCAAACTAGGGGTGGGAATCACAAAGTAACTCACGATGTGATATCATCACAATATGATGCCGATGATAACGTGGTGTTTGATTATAACTATTCTGTGATACTGAATACATTGTTAGACAATCGTCTACACGACACGTTACAGTACATGCAACTGAAGAAGAAAAAACAGCCCTAAAATTTAAAAGTCCATGAATTACTCACTGCAGCGTGCCGTCAGCGTTTGTGTGTATTATCAATAAAATTGAATTTTAATCTAATTTGATTTCTTCTTCACCACAGGTTAGTTAACTTCTGTTTAAATAAACATAGTGGCAGTGTATTAATAAAACATTGCAAGCAGAAGTGATGTATATTGCTTCGTCAATATTTTGTCCCACCCCATCTTTAAACATAGCTGTGCGTTCTTTTATTGCCAGATACGGTTTAGGAATTAATTCTAACAGTGTGTGCCATCACCTTAAGGCTACAAAATGCAGAACAAGAAAAGCAATTTTGACAATTAGCAAATGTGCCACACAACACTTTCAAACACATGCTCATAATGTTCAAGAGCAATGAGAGCTCAGTTTCTACTGCCGTCTAACAGCTGATCTGTGTTTGACACATGCTCTGTCACTAAAAGAATTAAAGCATGCTTTTCTTTAACCAGAACTGAAAATCAGTTGAATCATTTCTAGCCAGTACAACTCAGTAAGTCAAATTTTGGTTCTGAAAGGCATCAAAGACGACTACAGTTAAAATATGCAGTGCATATTTTAACAAGTTCAAAAGGCGATATTTCATCAAAACTACAAGACTTTAAATCTGTGCTTTCAAATTACAACAATGACAAAAGATGCACAAGGTGAGCCTCACATATCCCAGCGGAGCTTCCTCTGAAGAAGGTGACAGATATTCATTTGATGGAATTAAAGTGTTTAAAGTGCAGAAGGAGTGCAGGTGGAAAAACATACAAAGGACAAGAGGGGGAAAAAAAATAAAGGGAAAGGAAGAGAAGAACAGTATTAACAGTGAAACAGCTCCACCACATCACCGCTGTGCAACGCTGAACAAACACTTTGTCGTTCTGCACTGAGGAGCAGCTCAGTTCAGTTTATCTTTAAGCGAGTTCATTTTAGATGACTCAACTGTTCTTGACCTAAGATGCTGAAAATTAGTTTCAGTCTATAAACAGATCGTGATCCTGAGTTTCTGCACATTTACAAAAACTTCAACTAAGAATTGATCTCAGCATTTATAGCATGACGTCATCTCTTAATACTCTTGGTTAGATTCACTCTGCAGAACCAAACTCACTGAGGTGGTTTTTTAAAAATTCATCTTGCTTCACAGGTAAACTTTCTGTTTTGTCTCCAATCACTTCAACCACAGCCTGTGAGCACCATGTGATAAACATTTTTTTGCCTGTTGCATCTCTTTGTGGACACAAGTTTTACTTTAACATGAATCAAGCGTCTAGTTACTAAAAACATCTGCCATTGATGACATTTGACAGGGTCCAGCTGTGCTGGGCTGGCTGCATGTTGGTGTGGTTATATGTGCACAGGACCTGAGGAACTTCAGAAACCCAATTCATCCCATTTTCAGGCAAATGATGCTGGTACTTCATAACTGGTGTTCAAATAAACTGTTTTTAGCTCACACTATTACTACTGTAGTTAAGAGATGAAATGATCTAGGTGGTGTTTTAGAGATCAGCGGAGCCACACAGGTCAAGAAACATCCAGCACTTAAAATGACCTGAAGCAGCTTAGCAGCAATACTGAGGAAAAAGCAACACTTTTGTGAGACAAATCACATTTTACAATGATTGGTGACATATTTTTCTTGATTATAGGAACAACTGGTCAGAAGGAGGCTGGTGGTGTGAAGAGGTGACTTCTCAATAAATCCTTATATTTTACACTTTATCAAACAACAATCTCAAAGGGACAAAAAGACTTTAGAGAGGAGACGGAAATCATTGTTCTCTGCACTGATGATAGAGTCAGACAGCATGAAAGGCAAAGTGGACATAAGTATAAAGTTTTACAGAGAAACCAGGAAGATAAAGCACAGAAAAAATCTGTAGTTTGGCTGCTATAAAAAAAGAAAAAAAAAAGAAGAAAAAGAAAAAAGAAAAAGAAGAATGGCTGGAAACAGGTTGAGTATAGTAAGAGCACGAGAAGGAAGGAGGAGAGAGAAGATGACAGTAATAAAAAAGCACTAACAGTCGTACCTCACAGTGATCTCACGCTGGAATGGTTACACAGCATTCAGCCAGGCAAGGAGGGGTCGTGCACGCACAAGGTGACACACACACACACACACACGTGTGTGCAAACAGTGAGAAACATAAGAAAAACAAAACATGAGATAAGCTACTCTTCAGGAAAGCATAATGCACAACATAAACCCCCAAAAGAAAGTCAAACACTTAAAGTTGAATTAAAGTTTGTTTGTGAAAACGTTTCCAAACTCTAACACCTCAAGTGTGAAAGTTAATTTCATGTTTGGTTGGACAAGAGCTCAATAGCGTCATACATCAGCTTTTAGTGCGATTATAAAACCGTTTCAAATTAATTTACAAACAAAATGAGTGAAAACAATAATTTCCTAAGTAGCATCTGTTAAATACATTCAGGCGCCGGTGTATTTAGCACACCTGCCTAAAACTATGTGTATATTCATAACTGAAATCTTTGCAACTTGCTAATTGCATTGTCCACCACCAACATAAATGCAAATAATAGAAACACTTTCCTGTATGATGACGTAACAGGTCAAGAGTTGAATCAACACTTCTGTAATTCAGTTACAACAAAAAAATACAATGAGACTGCATTTAGTTTGCTTTGGCTTAGTAAACAGAATAAAACGGCTACAGATAAAACTTCTTATTGACACTGTGCAATATTAATTTCATGATGTGATTTCAGGCAGTTCATATAACCCTAAAAAACACAATAACATTTTTACAATATACAGCTAACAACAAGATCAAGAAAGAAACAGCAGCATAACACTGAATAATGATCCCAAAGAGTCTGAGTGACAATCTTAACTTTTTACATGTCATAACTGGCCTCAAAGATTTGGGAGCATCAGTTCAGCGTGCAGACTGCTTTGCCTTGATATTGTTTTTGGCAAAACCTTGACTAAAACCTCCGTTTGAGTGATTTGGCATCGTCCCCTCTGGTGAGACCAACATGTTACTAAGTGTTTATCCCATCAGAAAACACAGTAAACTTTCCCTTGATTCCCTTTTGTTGTTTTTCTGTCTTCTGTCATTTTCATTATATCGTGTAATGTACAGAAATAGACTTTTAATGCTTTCAGGTTTTACAGTAAAGACCTGAATGTGCTTTAAAACAAAGGAATGAAATGAATTCTTGTCGTGCTGCACACACATTTCTAACCTCTGCACAACAAAACGTGACTTTTAATGTAACAGAGGCATGCAGTCATATCAAGATCAACAAACCTGTATGGTGACATACAAGGAGAGCAGATAATAGATACTGTAAGCATTACTGCAGCCAAGAATACACTGACTAACTAATGTGGATAACGAAGGAAAAAGAGGTGAATCAAGTCCATTTAGTCAACACTTGACAGCATCATGCTAACCTGTGTGTGTGTGCGTCCACTCATCCATGTTACATACTGCAAGTGTGATGCACGTGAATGTGACAAAGGTTGTATGTGTCCTGTTAGAGGCCTTGAATGAATATGTTGAGGAGGGGAACGGATCATAGTTAGTTGTGGGTCATAAAGCGAGTTCATGACAGTACAATGGGGTGAGGAAAGATGGAGGACGCCTCTCCTCTCCCTATAGGCTCATTAATCTGAGGTACCTACTACCTCTGTCCCACCAAGATCACTGAAGCATAGAAGGTAAAAAAAAAAGTTAACGAGGCCTTAAAAACCCTACAGTAGCTATCTGGTTAAGAATACAAACTGCATGAAAAAAAATCTGTTTATTTTTAGTATAACTGTATCATCTGTAAAGGGAAGCAACGCTCATAGTGTCTTCTATGCTTGATTTCTCTCAGAAATGTGAGCATCATAAGGCGGGATGTTAATGAGGGAGTTAAATGTTTTATTGCAGACTTTCACCTACAGAGGAAAAGCAAGAAAACCTGACCTTTATTTAATGTGTTCTACCAGCAGAGAGGTAAGGTGACCGGAGTCAAGAGAAGCTTGGCTCATTAGAAACAGTCAACCCAGTGTTATATTGTTAAACAATCAAAGTGCGCTGAATCACCCACATTTTAAATGCAAGTAATGAAATGTAATTACTTTGAAATGGTAGAATAAATAAATTGCTGCTATAATCTTGATCTGTTAACAGTGCTGAATATGTGTTTTTTAATCCTCTCTGACTGAACCTGTTCTCTCCACTGACTCTAGGGTGACTGGCTGTGGTGTTAAAATGCTGCTAATAGCCAATATTAAAAAAGAAAGTATGTAACTGTGCTTCAGATTGCAGATTTCCACCTTTTTGGAGGCACGTCTATGGTCACTTGACAACCTTAAGTACAAAATTAATTCTCTTTTAGCTCTTTGTTTGGTCTCCACCAGCTCCAGAGAGAAATATGTGGCTGTTTTGCCTGCTAATGCTCCCCTATGTTAAACAGCTAAATGTGCCTGTTTGCTGTCAGTTACAGTTAGCTTTTACAACTTTTTTTCCTGCTATAGCCAAAAAACAGCCCAGTGAGAGGAATGAGAGGGAACTAAAACAGTAAATTTATGTACCAGACTGCTAAAAAGTGAACTGAAACTGGCTATAAACCTCTGCAAAGCTGAACAGAGTAGTAAATTTCGTATCTTTGAACCCTTTCACACTGTTTCAAAGCTGTCACTTGAGATAAAGTCACTGTAAAATATCTGTTAAAGATGCATAACAACTCTTTTAGATTTACTTCTTGCCAAAGAATTATAGTGGCACTAACACCAGCCTCAATGTCAATCAGAGAATGTAATAATCCACTACAGGACATACTGAGGGAGGGCTGGAAAGTATTTATAATGTCAGAAAAATGAAGGGAATTAAGTTTTTACATGTTCAATTGCACACATATCAACAGAAAGGCTGATTATTACTGTGTGATAAATGTTGAGCTGCTTAGTGAAATATATTTATTTAGTAGCTCTGTACCTACAACGACTGGGAGCCTGACAAATTTCAGATTTATAAAAGTCACAGCAAATCATTCAGATTTTTCAGAAGTTAAGGATTTGTTCCATTTTTACTGTTGTGATATGAGCAAGATACGTCAGCATTAAATGTATCTACCCTCGTTATCTATCCGATACACAGACAGATTTTCTGATGGATGTCAGAGTTCAGTTTTCTGTGGTACGTTTTTGGATTTCTATGTTAGGTTTGCAAGTGCAAGTCCTAAAAATGGACCGTCTTCAGCTGTTTGCCTTTAAAGCTCAACAGGCCATGTCCACATAGTTCCACACCAGCATGTTTCTCCAAACTGCATTCTCACTTTTAAGTAAATAAAAGATTGCTGCAAAGCATCTAAAAGTGTCCACAGTGAGGCAGGCTAGCAGGCTTTCCAAACTTTAAGACATTTTAGCTTCATAAATAAGCACAAGTTACTATGTATTGAGAGGTGATCGATGAAATCTAAGAGGTTTCAAGTAAAAATGTAGTTATTATTTTGATCACCATAAAAAACCCTGTTTAAAATATTCTTCACTCACAGTACAGAAAACAAATAGCGATTCTTTCATCAGTACATGCAGTTGAAACAGCACTTTTACCACAAATAAACCCTCACACACTGAGCAAAAAGTATTAAAACAACAAAGATAGACTAACATTTCAGCTGATTCAGTAAAATCCAGAAAAACAAGTAGAAGAGGAATTATTGGGAATCCTTACCTTCTCCAATTGGCTGTGTACATGCTGAACAATCAAATCCAACGCTACAAAGTTCTCTCCACCTACAAATAAAAAAAGTACAGGACCAAAATTTAACCAGAACTTTTAACTAAAGCAGTATTCATTTGGAGTCGAGCATCGTCTGATATTTTTCAATATCAGTGCCGATTTAAGTTTAGTGGAATTAACGTTATAAATAATGTTGCTTTACTTTTACTTTGGTATAAACACTTTTCAAAACCTAAGACTGACAGCAAAGAAGCTTCACTCAGACGTCACAGAGAATAGAATGTAAAGGCCTAGCGCTTCCAATATTACTTTCTGTGTAGTTAACCTGAAAGACTTCCACTGACCTCTGGGAACCACGATGTCAGCAACCTGCACCGTGGGCTCAATGTACTGCTCGAATGCCGGCTTCACAAATTTATTGTACTGCTTGATGATGCCGCTGATGTCCCGTCCACGTTGAGAAATGTCCCTCTTCAGCCTCCGTATCAGGCGGATGTCTGAATCCGTATCGACAAACACCTTCATGTCCAGAAGCTTGAAGACAAGAAGGCAAAGGGAGAAATCAGTTAATTAATCTGTGTGTGGACCTTTTTCTTTGACTGCTGCTGTTTATAGAGTCGTCCTCAAATGTATTCATACCCTCCCATTAAAGCATGATGGGACCTGTAAACTAATAGTTAGTTGAACAACCCTTTGAGCCAATCACTGCAATCAAGTGTTTTCTGTAACTCTCAATCAGACTTCTGCACCTGTTGGCAGCTATTTGGATTTTGTCCCACTGCTCATCAACAAAGTGCTCTGATTTGTCCAGGACAATTTATTTATTTATTTATTTTAATTATTCTTTTCAACCACAGCTCAAAAGCAATGTCTTATTTCAATAAATCATAATTTAGCAAATTTTGATTTATTACTACTTTTTTTAATGGAAGGGTATGAATACATTTGAGGACGACTGTATACACTTTCAGACAGTTTCCCAAAATGCCTTAATGCCAATAGGTACACACAGAACGATGACATACTGCACAGCATCATATCATTATACTTATTAGACCGACTTTGTCAGAGGTAACAAGATAACACATTGATTTCTGTCAAATAAGGAAACACAGGCTCAATGTCTTTATGATATGCAGACCACTCAAACTGGCGGGCTTCATCACGCCCCAACGGCCAGGGACAAAACCTGACTGATGCAAAAAAAACATACAAACAAACGGCAGAAACATACAACAATTGTACATGCTTGACTTTTTGGTGTCAAAAGAGCCAAAGGCTGTGCTGCTTTGTTCTGCTAAAAGTGAACAGACACGTTGAGTTGCTTCCACAGTTTGACATTTTCCCAGCAGAAATTTGACGTTGGGGTCAGGATACGTTTATGAAAGCGAGGAGACATCAGTTATCATGGTCGCTTTAAAGAGAAAGTCGGCCCCTGATCTGTCAACTAAGCTCCATTAAACTGAACCTCAACTCAGCAAAACCAGGAAAAATCAATGAAGCAGCTTCACAACCGGGGTGGAACCACAAAGAAGGCAACAACCTCGCTTGCAAAAAAGAACTATTGACGACTGCAGAAATTAAAAGGAGTTTGCGAGTGATTTAGACAAGGATGACAATGAGAGTACAGGTATAACTCAGTTGCACAACAAGCCAGTGGATTCTGGCTGCTGTAAATCTGACAAACTGACCAACCCAAAGATGGCATGTTGCTGGATAAGCACAGCTGTCAGCTCGTAGGAGGATGTGGATGAAGGGTGGATTGTTCCCAAACGTTAGAGAGCACTGCTGAGGCTCTAGATCATTTTCTAACCTGCTCTGAAAATGCCCTAGATAGGTGTGTGTGTGCCCCTTTAAGACCCGTAACAGCCACCTGAGTATTGGACTGCATGATTGACCCATGTGCATTCTGAGTAGCCGATGACAGTCGACCTTCTAGCAGGTGTAGATTCAGTTTGGCCAAGAGCATTGTTTTCTTTATTGTAGACCACACTCAGCTACAACTTCAGTTCATTAAAGAGTTGAAATTTAAAGGGACCTGAATGCTTCTTTCATCCTTTACCGGATGCCCATGGCGGCTGTAAATACTAGAACCTCATAAATTCAGAGACATCACAACAAGGGCTGCCAGTTCTACCACAACGATGAAGCAGGAAAGCGGGAAATTTGGGCTTAATTACAGTCACAATTAAAACTCTAAATCTAAAGTATCCTCATCTGACAAGGAATATAAGGTGTCCATGACTTGTCAACTTTCTCTACAATATGCATGTGGCCTACTGTGATGTCGCAAAGAATGAGAAGTGTTAGCCCCTCCTGAGTGAGATGAATGTCTGCCTTCATAGATTCTGAAAACATGAAGACCCTCACTCTTCTCCCTTCACAACCTTGGACCATCTCTACCTTCATCGAACCTACCAATAAACCCGTTTTAACCTTTTCAATGCTTAAATCTGTGACCTGCTTTTGCATCCAGAAATATAATTACATTAATTACTCTATCTGATGTAAGACTTTGTCAAAATGAACTAATGATAAATGTCCCAGCTGTAGAAAGAAGTATACTATGAGAGTGTTTGACAATACTCAGGCTGGTGACAGCAGACACAAACATATATTCATTTATCATTTCTGAATAATTTCCAAATATCGTGCCGTAAGCTTGAGTAGAAAAAACGTTGTTCCAAATTACTTTTGGAACACATAAGGGTCGGCCAAAGACGAAATCTGAAGTCTGTAGGAAAGCAGTAATACAAACACAACAATGAATCCTTGCTTGGCTTTCATGAAAAATCTTATTTAGCAACTATGAATTAAATGCATTGTAGTCACTTGACATTTCCTGACTTTCTAAGGTCATTAAGGATCATCAAATTGCACCAGTAAAGGTACAGTGTGTAACACCAAGGAGCACTAAAGCGTGTCCTCTACACTCAGGCAAGAGAGGGCTACAGTCTTAATTAAATGGGAGACGTTTTGTTGGCCATCTTAAGAAGGATGTTGAAGAATGAAATCACCTGCATTGTAAGGAAGCATGAATGTAACTCGTCTTTTTAAATGAACTTACCATTGACGTATTGACTCAGATAATCATTTGAATGTTTGAATTGATTGATGTTTGATTGATGTTTAATTAAAGGTCCCACAATGTGAACCTCTTCAGCAAATTATTGAAAGTCTCACGTCTCCAGTCTTTAATTTCTGAGCACAAAATACTCCAAAGATGGTTCATTTCACTAAGACTGTGTGACCTCTGGTTTTAGCCTTGTTCTAATCAGGTTTCTTTCAACGCAGCTGAGCTGCTGCTGACCACGTACCCTTCAGGAAAAAGACTCTCTGCACGAGAAATTTCCAGCGTGGAGCGTAACAGTTGATTGCAAGGCAGCTGACACAAATGTGAGTGTGGCTTTGAAACTAGAACTTTCTCTCTATTGTAACGTTGTCGCTGAGAGTCATTTCACATGGAAATAATGCAGAATTCACAAAGGCGATAACTCATTTGTATGGTGAGTTTGTCTGGGTTATGAAATTGGTAAGCAGCTCAGAGCAGCAGCTGTAACGTTAACATGTAGTCTGAATGTGCTGCTTTTTACTCGCTATATCAGACTTGTTCTGATGTCTGACAAAAGAACAAGAAAAATATGTAAACAAAAAGAGCTTTATTGGAAATTAAGATGTTTTATAATGCAGTTTATGTGAGCACAGAGAGCGAGAGAGAAGCAAACATTGTCAGCAGTGGGCAGTAAAGAGGCAGGATTATACTACGTTTGAGCTCGATGACTACTGGTTTCCATGTAAAAACTGGATACGATTCTTAGTGGCTTGCAAAGCTGGGAGCCTATCTAGATAGATCATTATGGGACCTTTAAGTCTGATATGGAGAAAATGTCCTCTCATGGCATATGCAACTTTTTGTATTTGCACATAATTTGTTGAAACCCTTTTATGACTTCACTGATAAAGAGACACAGGAAAGGGGACCAAAGAGAAGGGATGACAGGACCTGTGCTGATGACTTCAGCCTTTGTAAATTGGCTGCATGCTTGACAAAGTGAGCATTCAGTGCCATTTTAATCAGTAATACAAACAGCAATCAATAGATATATTGGCATTTAGAAAGGTAGATATAAATCATGATTAAAAATTCAGTTGAGGAAAAAAAGACAGTAATAAGTACTTTTAGGCAAATCCAACAATTTAATGATCTGAAAAACAAGCTACTTCATCACAATACTGCAAAAATCCAATTCAATCTCACCATGAAAAAGCCCTATGTAATAATTTGCAACACTGCACACAACAGTCCAGCACCATTAGAGAAAGCATTAATGGTGACTGACAAAGTCCTAGCTCGGTTGTTTTTCCTGTAATGTCACCAAATCATAACACAATGGAAGTGTGACGTGGCGTTCAGACACATGCAGCATCTCAGTTTCTTAAACCAGACCTCTTTATTAGCATATCAGATTTGTTACGACAGTTCACTTCAATTACAAGAATGGACATAAAACACAATTAATCACAGCCGACACTGTCTCTTATTAACTGAATCAGAGGGTAATCAACTACCACAGCTGGGTCCCAGGAGAGGCTGCCTGCCTTATCAGCACGGTCCAGCTCTCTTTTACGCACTCACACACACACACACACACACACACTTACTTTCCCACAAAGAACTCCCCCTTTTTATTCTTATGGATTTCCTCTGAACCACAAGAGCATCTTTAAAAAGAATTAATTTACTCCCTTAAAAACCCAGTCTCCTCTTCACATGCACACACTTGAGGCAGTTGGTTGCTAAAATGCAGGATTTTAAACCAGAGTTTGATTTGAGTCCATTTTTGCAGTGCTTCTTCATTTATGCTTTGACTATTTTATGTACAAAATACAAAAAAATAAATATATATCGCTATATGGAATTATTCTGTGGTTCTCCCAGGATGTAATTACCACCAAGCCTATAAAATGTAATCACCAATTTAACACTAGGAGGGACTTCTTGCATTAATTTTGTTTTACAATGACATGAAATGGTCTTTGAGTTAAACAAATAAATGGATAAACAAAATAAAATACAAGTAATCTTACTTTTCTATTACATTTCTATAGCTATGGTCTGAGACGGTGACTGAGTCGTATCTGATAATTCATAAAAGGCGAATCCCATCCCGACTGTCTGCCATGTACATATGAAATAACTGATCTCAGAGATAAAGTCATACTTATTTAATTTCCCTTAACAGATCAGAGCATTTAGTTCATTATAAATCAGTCTGTTGGTTGATCAGCTATTGGCAGATCCATTAATCAGGTGGGCAGAGAAAAACTGAATCCCTAAATGTTGTGGTAGCATCCAAATGAAGATTCAACCTCTTTTTAAAGTCCTCATTCCTGTTCAGTTCATATACTATAGCAAAGACTAATGAGAGACATCTGGTTGTGCATCAAAGGACTGAAAGGTCAATCAAAAATCAGACAGTAATCATAACGCTGCATTCACTACCTTCTGTACATTAACAAAGAGTGAAAACTTGACTTACAAAAAGAAAGTCGAGCAGAGAAGTAGAACAGATCATTCCTACCTTTAGCAGCTCCTTGTTGGCAAACGCCAGGATGCCCTCAAAGATCACAACATTGGCCCCGTACACTGTTTTCTGTCAGGGGAAACAAATTAAAGGACAGGTTCACATTTTTTTCAAGTCTAGCTAAAGGCAATGCTCACACAACCACATGTTTTATAAGGGTGATACTGGTCAGTGTAATTAAGCCATCTGTCCACATCAGCTGTACTGGTACACATGCTGCTTTTAGCACAACTGCAATGCAAAGATGGGGTCTAACGTCTATCAACACCTTCCTGTAGCATCACCTGTGTGGAGGACATGAAACAAGTGGCTTGTTAACAAAAAATAATTTTGGCATCATACAAATGAGGGTCTCAAAATCATTATTAACTAATGAACTAAAAAAAAAACGTGTGAAACTGAAAGTCTATAAGTGCAACTTTTGTTTTTTAATTTTTAAAAGTATCTTCCACACTGCCTTAAAGGCCATTTATGGGTCTTTTACTTTAACTGGAACATTTGAATTTACTCCCAAAAAAATGCAATTTCATTTACTATACTATACTATCTACTATGGAATGGATATAATGTCCAATGCTGAATTATAATTCATGGGCTGCACGGTGGACCTGTGTTTAACACCATCGCCTCACAGCTAAAACATCCCCGGTTCGCGTCCCAGTTAAGACGCCTCGATATTTCTGCTTGGAGTTTGCACATTCTTCCTGTGCAGCGTGGGTTCTCTCCGGGTTCTCCGGCTTCCTCCCACACAGTCCAAAAACATGTTGAGGTTAATTTGTGATTCTAAATTGTCAGTAGATGTGAATGTGAGTGTGCTTGGTTGTCTATCTCTGAGTGTAGCCCTGTGATAGACTGGTGACCTGTCCAGGGTGTCCCCTGCCTTCACCCTAAGTCAGCTGGGATAGACTCCAGCCCCCCATGACCCTAGTGAGGTCATAATGGATGGATGGAATTTTTGTCATGACATTTATTTGCCGACATATCTCCTTCTATGTAAGCCGTTACCCACTATCCTGTGATGTTTACGTGAGAAATTAAGTACTAAGGTTTGTAAAATCAGGAGAAAAGACACAAAAATAGCTGCTGCAGACAGATTGGAGTGCTATTTATAAATAGTTGACTAATCCATCCATCCATTATCTATACACCGCTTAATCCTCACTAGGGTCACGGGGGGGCTGGAGCCTATAGTTGACTAATCATTAATGTTAATTAAGTATATCGGATTCCACCTTGTTTACATGAGCTCTGGTTTGAATCCATTCACTACATAACAACAGAAGTCTTTGTCATGGTGGCCCTCTGCTAACCAAACTCCCACAATGTTCTCTTCGTGTCAAAATGAAACTGTCCATAGCCCAAGTGACTGCCTCCTCTGGTCGCTACAGTTTTAAACACAAATAAACTGCAGTCTTCCATTTCACGCAATAAAAACCAACATGTTAAAGCGAGGAAACACTTATTTCATTGCTTGATAAGTAAGAGCACATTATATGCTACGAAAGAGGATGTTCAGTTGTCCTCTAAAACTGTGTTGAAGTCATTGTAAAAACAGCAGCTAGACACAAATACAGGTATCAGTTAAACATTGGTGCATTAGCGCAACCTCAACCCAGGTTTGCCTTCTTCACAGTTATCTGATAAACCCCATGTTGAACCCCCTTTACTACCAGGAAAGCAAGTGTGTGTGCGCCTTTGAGAAAGAGATTAATCACCAATTCAATCAAAGACAAAATGGTGCTGAGTATGTCACAATCCTATTACGCTCCTCTGACCAGCTTCATGCTAAAGTCAATGGGCTGGACACTTTGGTATTGATTTTGAGAAAGAGAGAGAGAGTGAAGGAGAAACAAAACAAGACAGGGAGACAGCGTGTGGAGGCAGGGTTCAGAGAAAGCGCATTTTAAAGAAACAGATGAGTGTTTATTGATTAGTTCATTTCCCTGTTCTTTGCTAAGAGATGATTTAGTGGGTCTTTAACATGTTTAAGTGTTGGTGCCTGAAAGAGAGAGAGCAGCTGACATTTTCACCAGAGAAGAAGAAGTGAGAAAACTAAGCTTCTTGCTCTCGTCTATGCACACAACACACAAAAACACACAGAGCGTACACAGCCTGAAGCTAGCTGGCCCTTGCAGCCCTCAGCACCCTCGGGGCCTGAGGCTTAATTACATTCACCCCAGTACAAAAGACCCATAAAATGATTTTAGAGTTACAAGTCATGATAGGCGATTTCCCGCGTGGTGTTGTGCCTTTCAGCCATGAAATTACATTGCAAAGAAATAGAGAGGAGTTGTCAGAGAGCTACAGTGCCAGATTGATTCTTCACAGTGCTTTTGGGAGGAGATGCTTGGGTTAATATCCTGCACACTAAATCCTTAATAATTAGCAAATTAGCAGGCATCTCAATTGGCATCAGCTAATACGCCTCTGTAGGTGTTTGGTGATTTGTAAGCGCAAAGGTAATTTTATCCTCTAAAGAGTCTAGAGAATTTACTTTAAATAAGACTGAATATACTCAGTGCAATAACTAACTGAACTAAGCACATGGAAGACAGTGGTTTTCTTTAACTACTCCAACACTGTCAGAATTATGTCAAGTTTTGTTACCAGTTTTGCTCAAAATTAATAATCTGCAGCAATATAGTTGATTTATAATGTAATTAAGTTGTAAAATTCAACCTGTTTAATCAAAACTTTCAAGGACAAAGCCCCAGAAAAGTATTCATCTGTATTATAGACAAATAGTAGTGACTAAATAAGCGACGATGTAATGTAAAATTGGGGAAAAACATCCTTAGTCATTACTTGTTAGGAGTTTAATCCTAAATAGTAGTTAATCTGTTTCATCTGGGCTGTGTAGGTGGGACTGCATCACACTTTACTGACAGTAAACTTGAAAGTTTTTCAAAAAGTAAATAAAAAAACTGCCATTCGTCATCAGATTTTGTTTTAAATGACTAACTGGTGCATTAAAGGGTGTCATCTTTTACCAACCGAGCCCTGCCCGCTTCAGATCAGTGCAAAGAGAATCAAAAATATATAAAATTACCAAAAAAATTCAGTTTAAATTAAAAACGGTTAGTGATACACAAACCCCAAAATTCCTGAAAACAAAAATATTTGTGAGTACTAAAACTAGAAGACAATATATCACTACATCAACAACAACATCAGTATGTATATTGGATCATATCTTCATTTGCCTACTGCTACTAGTCTTGATCTATTTCAGCCCTGGACACTGAAGGTTATTGAAAAGGCACTGTAGAGCTTGGTCTGATCAGTCACGACTAATTAAATGATCAGATTAATTTGATCATAAAAATTTTGTGTCGAGCTACACACAGTGCACTGTTTCCTCTGTACAAACTTGCCCAAACCTTTATGCATGTTCCAACTGCAAGAACTGACATAACCTCTCTCAGGGCCGTTTTAGGGGCAGAAAAGAGTGTTTATTCCAGGACATGGACTTCTGAGTGACCCTGACAAACTGCTATGCAGGTCTTGAAACTCAAAGAAGACACCAAGCGCCACTTTTCCTGCCCTTCCCAAGTCGTCTTCAACTTGCAGTTTTCTCCTCTTAAACATCAACATAAACAATGTAAAATTTACCATAAAACTACCAAAACAAATCTCTATTGTTCCTTTTCCTACTTGCTGTTAGAACTGAACTTACATCAGTCAGTGCTTTTTGTTTGTTTTGGCTCAGACTTGACGTCACAGTGGAAGCTGTTGGATCCTACATCACAATGGAAACAGAAAGCCTGTAATGCTGATTACAGGGCTGTTCCTGTAAACATTCGTCCCACCTCAGACCTGCCCTGAGTTCCTGCAGTGGAAAGCTGCCAAGCATTGTTAAATACTGTATGCTCCTAGGAAAACAAATCCCATCATAAATGGAGCAACACACTAAGCTGCAAAGACTAACAGTCCACAGAGCTGATCGTGGTAATGACAGGTTCTTACCCATTCTTTACGTCTGCAGTGGGAGGTGAAGTCATACACCGGCACTTTGATGCTTTTTCCTTTCTTCAGCTTTCTGAGGACGGTAACCAGCAGCTCAAAGTCGAAGGCATCAGGGTGATCAAAGTTATACTCATTTTTAGCAGCCAACTCCTGTTCTTCTTTATTCAACACCTGAGACACAAAGAAATACAGCAGCACAAAGAACCCTTTTAAACAAGTCATGCATCTTCTGTTACAGATGGTCTTAAGTTCCCAGGTATCTCAGATCAGCATGGATTTTACAGGCCAACGCTGGTGCAGCCGACAACAAGTTTACATTTTGTCATACGTGTCAGTGTAAAAAAGATGTTGAATTACTACAATGTAAAGTAACTGTAGTTGATTAAAACCTTTGTTCCAGAAAAAATGGTTTAGATAATTATTATTCACACAATAAAAATCTCTCTTGATGCTGTCCAAAGTTATTTAAGTTAGTTAAAAACCTGTGAAAAGACTTGGCTACAATGATGCTGTGTATGTAATACGCCTGAGAATTCAAACTTGTTCTTTCTGTAACGAGCAGCTAATGAGATGTGCACTAGGTTAATCTGTGTTCCCAGTGTTGATGATAAACACACTACAGTGTCTGACTGCAGCCGACTACCGTGTTTTGTGTTTATTTTGTGTTGATAAAAATCAGAGATTAAAAAAGACATTTATTGTACAATACTATTGTAAGCATATATGTTCTTTAGAAGACTATTGTGTTTTATTGCAGTGGACGACATTTAACATCAATATTAAACACTGGTTGTTAACTAGGTTTCAAGATACATTTTATGCTTTTGAAAAAAATGTTTATTAGTTCTCAAGATGGGATAAATCTGGGCCACCAGCCTTACATCCACACTTTCTGTTACACTGACCCTGATGCCCTTTATTGTCATATACTGAACGCGCAAATTCCATAATGATGTGTTCAACCTTTAAAAAGAAAAACATGTGTATCACCTCAGCTGTTAAATCAAATTTAAGGGAGGAAAAAGAGCTCAGAATGAAAAGTTTTGCACTTAGAATAAAAGTGCTGCCCCCACAAAACAATGCTCTTCCATTTATCTTAATTTCATCAATAGATATCTATATATTACTGTTACATGCATATACACAATTCATACAGCCATCTTTAATCAAAAGCTACACTTCAGTCAAGTAAATAACATCAGAAAAAAATGAACATAATCCAACATTGCAAATGATCCAAGTGGAGTTTTCCTTTAAGTATGAACCCTCCCCACTTATTACTGTTCAATTAACAAAGACTACAACAACTTGGAGCAAATCCATTGAGACACACAAACATGACTGACTCTTTCAGCAAGAAGAAGAATCTAAGAAATCATTGATTTCTGGTCTCAGAGGAGCAAAGCGTGTAATTGATATAAACTACTGTGTTCAATCGGTTATCGGTCCGAGGCTTTTACTTCACTGAATTATGCTGACATCAGCAAAAGGAACAGAGGGAGAGGATGTTTGATTGAATTTACTTTAGTAATTAATTTACACTGGTCTACTGTTTTCAAATCATAAGCTAATTAACTGCTATGGAATACTGGCCCTACAATCCCATATGAAAGGACAGTCCAATAACTGTAGGGAGGAAAGCTGCTAGAGGATAATCATTAGTCCTAAAGTGCTATTAATCAAAGCTCTGATGTACATTTTAAATTACACTCAACAGTGAGGGCTGTCAGATGGATCTTGTACCTTGTAGAAAGAGTCCATCGACAGTAGAACCACCCAGGGAACATCCAGCGCCTCGATTATCTTATTGGCTACTGTGGTTTTCCCAGAGGCACTTCCTCCGCACAGACCTAAAAGAGCATAACAGAGAAAACCACAGCACAGTTGGTCTTAATAAATGGTGAAAAATCGCAATCTAAAACCATTTTGCCTGGTGATCAACAGTCCATAACCCAAAGATATTAAACATCAGAGAAGCTGAAAGCAAGCAGAAGGCTGGTAGCTTGGTTGAAACATGATTAATCTTTTGTCAGCTGACTAATTTCCACTGTAATTTAGAGAGTTAGCATTACCATATGTCTGTTCTATCAGTGCCATCTTATTACCCTTTATAGGGGAATTAAGAAAGGGGCAACCCTCATCAAGCATACAAATGCCACTTTGTGTTTTCATGATTTGACGCAGTGGGAAATTCTGGCACAACTTCATTGACTTATAGCGTGCACAGAAAAGGAAAATCATCTTTAAGCATCCGGACTCAAGCACACCCTCATCCAGGACAGTTTCATTTGTCACAGCAGTGCAACTACACTGTACTATATCTGGCCTGGTCTCTACCTTCCCGGGAGACTATTCATTTAGTTTCCCTTCTGTATTGACACAAAGAGAAAGCAGACGCTGCGCAGATCACGACACGTAGGCTGATCACGCCTGACAGCCAGAACACAGAAACCTGCCTGGCGCAAATGGAAAAAAAGTGCTGTTTTTTACCCACCATATACCTGCAGCCGTCAGTCTTGTCATTTCTGCTGCAGCACTGCAGCCAGTCGGGCAGGGAAGCTACTTCAGTTCTGTCACCATGTTAATGGATTCCCACATGCACACACAGCATTTGTAGATTGTGGACAGACTGCCTAATTTTTTTCTCTTTGCCTGCAATCGTCTTTCTTTCATTACTGCTCTGAAGAAGGAATTATACTACCTCTTGGAGAATGTGGTTATTCAGCAGTTTGTTTTATCCTAGTATGTAGTGCATATACATTTGTTTTCATCTGTTTTTCAGATCTTATTGTAGTTAAACAGGGGTTTTTCTAGAAAAAAACTGTATGAGGGAGCACACCGCGTCGCGGGAGCAAAGCGACCGAGGGGGGGATGGTGCGAAGCCTTTGAAAAACTGAAGCTTAAATGGGACATTTAAGCGATCTGAGAGAGAAATTTTAGCTCATGAAACTTCAGAAATCAAGACATTATCAACTGTTGAGCATTTGTTGTTTGGTTAGAACTGTAATACAACTGTATTCTGTAAATGAAAACATGACAAATACTAGTATTGGCAAAACTTGTATTTACTAGTACTTGGAATGTTCTTACATGCTCGTACTGCACCATGATACACAGACATGTACTTTAACCAGTTAACAGTGTCAGGGAGCAAGACCCTATCATGTACACTAACCTGAGTATAACACAATGGCATGGAGTAAGACCTTATCATACATGTACACTAACCACTGCCAGTCTAACACAGTGTGAGGGAGTAAGACCCTGTCATACATGGTCATTCAATCTCGAGAAATCTTGCTGTGTAGGTCTGTGTACCTTGCATGTAACCGATATGAAATCTCGCGAGAGCAGCGAACACCAAAACAATATGGTGCCTCGGCATGGAAAACACCAATTTCTGTTGTTTTTTGCACCGTCTAACGATGTATCTACTGCAATCTGAATATGCTGGAGTCATTGTAGCGTTTTGGATGATGTGATACATGGTCTTGTGATGATTCTGGGAAATTTTCACGGCTGAGAAGATCGTTTTTGTGAAGATTGCATGTTGTACGGCAGCATGTAAGAACATGACCCAAGTGTTACTAGGGTTTAATCAGCATTTTGGTAAGAGGGTGCAAGCCGGGAGTATGAGGGCGCAGCGCCCATGTAACATTATTTAGACAAACCTCTGGTTAAATCACTCAAACAGTCTGCTTGATGCACACGTTGACACAATGCACTGATGAAACTTGTCAGGTGTTCCAGTTGGCTCCTCTCTGATCAACGCTTACCCATGACACTCTTTTCTATGTAGGTCTGAAAAGATGTTTTTGTACATCTTCTAGAGAAGCATAATTTCTTGTGTTTTTCAGCTGACCAGGTCGTATAGCATTATTTTAATCACCTATAATGATTTTTTTTTTTAAAATGCATGCGAAAATCTTTTTCTTATCTTATTTCAGGAACAAACCTGACTTGAATTGCAACTAATGATTACTTTCTTCAAATGTTCGGCTACCATTTGTTCTTTTGATTTTTCAATTAGTGAGAGGTGGCTTGATAACAGCCCAAAATGATGAATAAATTAAAAATCATGAAGATTCTTTATTTTTGATGGATCATCCAACTGAATAGTCCTTTCAACATGAAGGACAATTCAGTTTCTGCATAGCCGATGTAGACCTTTAAAGCAGACAGTGGACGCTCTGCTATTCATAATATAATAGGGACGTGTCGGTCTGCTAAACACTGCCCTTTATATCAAACACAGAAAACCACCAGGGCTCCTGTTAATGTTCCTGAAAGGCCTGCGACTTTGCAGTTTTTTTACAAAATATAGCAGCTTGTCACAGATTGCAGCATCGTGTCAATGTGAATATTCCTGAGGTGGGTGAAGCACAATGGGCAGGCGGGTATTCTGGAGAATGTAGAGCTTTGTACTGTGTTTGGGCACCACTGATGTAAACAAGAAGCTACAAAGAAAAGCACGTCCAAACTCCAGCAGCCACTTCATCGATTACAACTCTTTCAATGATGAATTAGAGCAGAAGTGGATGACAACAAATGTGTCCTCTCAAGCAATTCTTTTGAAGCATTATTTGTTTTGCTGCTGTATGTGCAAACAGGACGCTCATAGCACAGAAAGTCTATGAGGTCTGGACACGGACATATGTAGAGGGGTCTGCATAGACCCTCACAGACCGGAATAGATAAAGAAATTGACATCATGCATACCCTTGCAGACAAACAGATGCAAAAAGCAGGAAATGACGTTTACATCCAACTAGATATGATAAAAATTCCTTCTTGCACACATTCCTGTTTTGCAATCATATGCAGGTATCATAGTCAGTGTGGTGGTGGTGAGGGACAAAATGTTAAAATACTCACATTGTGAGTAGAACCAAATATTAAGCAGGAGTTAGAATTCACACACAAAAATAAAAAAAAATACTGGCACCACTTCCACGGAAAGCTAGTCTGGTGCCCTGCCTCACCTCCCAGGTTAAAGACCACAACAGCAATCCTTCAGGACAACCACACCGGGAACTGGGCCAGAACGACATGCTGGCTGGCAAAGAGGTGAAAAGCGGGATGCATTTGCTGCGAAAGGCTGTGTGTTTGTGGGTGTGTGCACGTGTGTGAGTGTGCAGAAAGAGAAATAGCCTACGGAGGTACTTCTGTGGTATAAACAACACTGTGAAGTGTTGGAATGGGGTTTTTCGCTCGGATAAGACCCATCAAGGTCAAAACTGCTGACTGGGAGACTAAGGAAAAAACACTGCTTATTTCTATATATGATTATAGCTCTGGAGAGGTTTAGAAATACTAGTTCTGACTTGTACATTCGTGTAATAAAAAGAAAAAAAGGCCTATTTGCTGAGTTCCTATAGATACAGCACAGACGACAAATTTTGAGAGCGTCATCCAGCAGCAAAGCCCGGCCACTGAGACATCCTTTTACCACAGATAAAACTGCCTTTTCTATTAGCAATAAAACCAGACTGTGGAGATAGCAGCCACCTCCGGTATCTATGAGGCTTTACAATATTTTCCTCTGTCATCACCTCCCTCGAGCTCTGTCTCCCTCCTTTTTCTATTCATCCATCTGTCCATCTATTGCTATCCCAGCATAACTTTCCCCGCTCAAGCTTCTCATTTAACCCTGATACTCCTCTTCCTGTTCCCTTCATCAGACTTTCAGTCCTCTCCTCTATCCATCTCACATTGGCCTTTGAGGCAGGTTGCTTTTTCCTCTCGGGCCATGCTCCGTCCAGCTCCCTTAAGTAACACAGTCTGGTCTTTTAAACTGGGGCCACAGCACAGCCGAGTGTGAAATTGTAACCGGTCACTGCGGCCCATTGACAATAACAGATTGCAGACTAAAGATAATGTCCACCTCTCCGTCCACGTATCCCCACTCATGCCAATCTGATGTGTTTAACCACGGAACATTGGCTCCACTAATGTCAAACACACACACACACACACACACACTTAGTCTCTCTGTGTCACGGTTCATTTTACTGCTGCTGGGACTCATCCTGAGGCGGATATTTTACTGTGCTGATCAGCAACATGGCAGCCTGCTGTAAAGATGGACACAGTAAAGCCATCGTGAACCTTTAAGATTGCTGACTGAGCAAATACAACTGAAACCCAACATGTCAGCATTTTCCACAAAAACATGTGGTGCCAAAATGAGAAGCTGATTTTAATAATCAAATTATATATTTAGTCATTTATCAAGCAATGAAACTAAAGTCTAGATGAGACTCCCTTGTGGACGGGAACATGAATAATCGCAGATACGATAAACACATATTAGTTGGTATTACACTACTTTTCTAGTCCACTGAGAGGGCTCCCTTCAATTTCATCAGTATGTTGATGGCTATGCATCTGTACACTACTGGTGAGCATGTGCACTCCCTGTCCTAGAGTTTAGTCGCTGTATCGACACATATTTTCAGTTGCAGCTGGACGTCTGCAGAGGGGTCTGCACAATCTCTAACAAACGTGGACAGATGTCAAAAATTACGTGAACCTTAGTGGACACAGAAAGTATGAATTGGCCATTTTCTGTTCCATGTAGGTGAAGGTTCGCTACGGTCCACTTGATATCATTTTCATCATTTATCCAAGTCTACGAGGGACTGTACACACTGCGGTCCGACTGACTGCACAGGTGTCAGGAAAACAAATGGTGCTCAAAAAAATGCTTGTTGTAGGCTGAGACTGTACATGGACATTCCCAGCTATTCATGCACACCTTTAATTCATCATTAAAAGAGTTGCAATTGAATTTGCACATGCTTTTCTTCAACAGTGCCACAACACAGTGGGAAGTTCTAAATTCTCCAGAAGTCCTGTGCTATGTCGTCCACTGTGCTCCACACACTACAGGAATATTCACTGACACAGTGCTACAGTCAAATCTGTAACTAACAGCTTTATACTGTAAAACTAGCAAAGACACAGCCAGCCTTTTAGCAAGAAACATCCACAGAAATCATGTGTGGCTTTTTTTTCTGTTTGACATGAGAGGTTATGCAACCGTCTGCTTGGCAGAGTGACACAATCTCTTAAAGCTTAAATACAGACACATGCCTGTCTGCTGTCCACTTTCAGAGTTAGCAGCGGTCAGCACTCCTGGATGCAGAAACCAAAAATTGGTCTCAACACTGGCCTTAGCCTTGGTAGCAGCTCTATGAGGCTAGCACTGCATTGTGCTAAATGCTAATGCCAGCATGCTATAATGCTCATAATGACAACCCTGTAAATAGTTATTATTTAGGCTTAAAACTTAGCACATTTCGTAGCGTGGTAGCCGCTGACATTTGTGTGTAAAGACACACAGAGCCAGCCAAAGGCAGATGGGAATGGCATTAGTCTCACACATATCTGATCATAACCCAACGTTTTGGAAAAACTAAACTTGACCTGATGATGTTGACATAGCTAATGTTACCAAGTAAATGTCCTACAATCCTGATAAATGTCCAGATTTCATTGCAATGCATCCATCCAATTGTTGTGTCTCTATTCTGGTAGACTGGGTCTTGTTCAGACCTTTATATGAACCTAATACACAGAGTGTCAGTCTTAGATTACTGATAAGAAAACACAAGCAATAAGAAGGAGCTGGAACTGACAGAAGACAGTAGGATGATACGTAGTCCTACCAATAATGTCGTACTACTGCACTGATCAACAGGTGGCAGTAAAACAGCAACATATGCTGCTGTATTCCAACAAAGCCAGAGAAGAAGACGACAAAAAGCTAATAAACACAGATGTAAACATAGCAAGATTTTAAATACTGTTAAGATTTAGCTTGAAAATGCTCCATGATGAAGGAAATGCATTCAACACGTTTTTTAAGACCTCAAGGACACATAAAACATGTGTGGTGATACTTCCGAATATCACTTTCCCCCTACATCAAGAGACTACTTCTCTCACCGATGACAAAGGCTTCTTTGAAGGTGGTCCCAGTGACGTTGTACCAAGGTGGTCTGCCCGCGGTGTAGATGGTCCTTTTATTGGTCCTCAGCAGTGGAGGCTCCGTCTTGGATTGACTTGTGGTCCGTTTCCGTGGCGACAGTGAAGGGGTCAAAGGACAGCGGTGGACACGACTTGCGAGGCCGTCCAAGGAATCATCTCCACTCCCACTGGGGTTGAGGACAGAAAGAGTTTAAAGTTTAGCTCAGTAGTCTTTGTTGTATCTGAGCGTCAACAACATAAGCAGTCCAGTTAATCTCACCTTGTTTGAAAACCTGTGACTGCTCCTATAGTTTACTTGTGATCAGGCAGCATTTGATTTGATACACTAGTGTAGATTTTGTACAGAAAAACAAAACACTGATTTGGATATCAGTTATTTTTTATCTCACATGAATAATGATCATCAGCATAAATAATACCGATAATACTGACTTTACTGCAGGACGGATCTGATTTAGCTCCTATAACTGGCTGCCTGCATGTTCACCTTATTGTTGCATATATGCTGGTTGCCATCAGAGAGGCCTTCTTAGCTCATAGTTGACCCCCTGCTGCTGCTCCAATACAGGCATTTTAGTCATTGCAACATATCTGCAGGTTTAATTCTGAAGTTACAAAGCCGATGTCTTTTTCTGACCAAAAATAGCTCATCAAAGCTGTGACACTATAAATAGCCAGTAAAGAGACATTAGAAAGGATTTTGGAGACCTGCAGATATGCTGCTGTCCTGTAGAGAGAGAAGAGAAAGTCCTTTTACTTCAGTGCCTCTCTCTAAACTCTCCTCTCCACAGTGAGGTCTCTGCTGTCGGTGTGGTTGAGGGGGAGGAAGGGGGAACTTGCCAAGCCTCCCCAGGAAATCACACCGCTGCCCTGGACGCAGCGTGACAGGCGCAGAGTGGGGCCACCATTCACATGAGTAAGGCTGTCATCACTTGGCTGGCTATGTTATGACTGAACTGGTTGAAATGGTACCAACTGTTTGAGTCCTGCAGAGTAACTATTAAGCAGAGAAATAATTCAAATTCTAAACTTGCTGAGGGGTAACCTAGATGTAATTAGACAGATGGAGACCACACAGTTAAGCAGGTAGACCATTCATTGCCTTTTTGGTTGTTAAATCCTTTAGACAAAAGGAATGTAAATACAAGCCTGTTTGTGCAAGTTGTTCAATCCTTCAGAAGCATAGCCTCTCCCACCACAGTTAATCAGATGGCATGTTGTTGTATGTGCTCCTTCAAACTGACAAACCCAGCAGCTTTTTCGACAGCCTTAACAATGTAAAATACTGGCTGTCCCAAAACTGTATGAAATTCAATAACAATAAGCCTAAAAATGTTGTCACTGGTCCCAGCACCTCCACCAGCATACCTCACAGCCTGACTGGTCCCCTGATCAAAAATATTAGGCCATCTACTAAAAATCTCAGACGTTGTTGAAGCCGATCTCTCTTTTTAATGCAAGCAAAGAGCAGTGTTCAGTCGTGCTTCTTTCAACTGAAACAAATCTCCAAAATTAGATTGTTCTGGTCTGCCACCGATCTGCAATGGATTATAGATGCATTTATTTTTTCCTTGCCTTGATTACTGCACTGCACTTTATGCCAGCATCAGTCAGAGCTCCCTCCACTAATTCCAGCTGGTGCGGATGCTGCTGCCTGGTTTCTAACTGGAATATGACCACATCCCTCTGGTACGTGCCAGTTTACACCAGGTACCTGTAAACTTCTGCACTGACTTTAAATTTCTACTCATCACTATTAAACCATTAAAGGGTCCTGCTCCGTAATACATTGAAGACCTTTTGACCCCTTATGTCCCGCAGGACTCTCTTAGATTGGTAAATGGGGCTTGGATCGTGATCAAGTGTGACTGGGCCTTTGCCATTTCTGTATCCAAACAGTGGAACAGTCTGCTGATTGAGATCAGATGGACATCTTCAGTGTCTCTGCTTAAAACCCTTTTTGTCAAATGGCCTATGATAAATGGCAGTATTTTATGCCCTGTTTTCGTTTCCTCTCTGTTTTATGATCTGATTAGTTTTATGGTCTTTGCTTTGTGAGCTGCTTTTATGTTCTCTAACTCTTTTTTTTTTACAATCTTTGTTTATTTTTCACACATATTTATTGATATTATGTAGTCTTTTTAATTATGTTGGTTTCAGTTAAGTGCTTTGTAACTATGCCATATAAATAGAGTTTATTATTGTATTATTATATGTCGGGCAACAAATTTTCTAAATGTTTTTTTTAATATAATGTACTGTTTCTGCATTTCAGCGTATGACATTAAAGCTTATGGTTATCTAGTGTTTGTTGCAACTAGGTAATGCTTGCCTGCTCTTCACACACCAATAGCTGATGCTTCTTTGGCCTACTTTTTCCATTAATTTAGCAAATACTAACCTGACTGATTTTCAGAGGCCCTAAGGGCATACATCAAAGTAGTCCCACTCATACTACCAGCTGAGTCCTACTTGTTTTTCCCCCTCTACGTCAGTATAATCCTAGTGAGGAAATGCATTACAGTAACAATCAGAGAGCTGTAGGCACACCCAGCCACAGGACACCCTGATCCACACAGCCAGCTCAGCAGGGCTGCCACAATGACACCTGATCCTCCTGCACATCCTCACTGCAACGTGTTAAGAATATGGGAATGGTAGCCAGAAATCAGCATTAGCTCCTGTTGTGTTAAACAGGACATTACATTCAGCGAGCTGTCAAAACTACTGTTAATTATCCAGCCCGTCTGTGGTTAACTGCCCTTCTGAATCAGAACAACACGCTTAATACAAACAGACTGAAGCCAATTACGGTTTATAATTGACTGGATAATTATGCCGATTTTTCCAAGACGCACCGAAACGCTGCCAAATCTCATTACGTTAAGTATAAGCTTTTGCCAAAAGGAGACTGTGTAGAAATTGTAAAATTTTCACAGGAGTCTGGCGTTTCTCGCAAAATAGAACGGAGCGAATTGTCAAGTCGCTGGTGGACACGAAGGAGGATAGCTAGCTTTTACTTTGCGACAGCTAACAATGCAAACAACCCCTCTGACAAACGTTTTATGACTTAGCTACAGTGGCTCTATTGTTGTTTCAATGCCATTTCAATTTTCCTCCTCTTTTGTGTCGCTTTTGTTCCCTGCAGCCACGCTAACACAATGCGTGGGTACGACTGTGTGGGAGCTAGCCTGCTAACAGTTAGCTAACATGAGCCGGTTCCTCTGCAGCGCTCCTCCACGGTGCTCCGAGCCGTGACACTGACACCTGTCCTGGTTCTGTTTTACCTGTCGGACCTCGACATGGACCTGTCCGCCTCCATCCCCTCTTCTGTCGGCTGCTCCTCCGGTTTACTGTCGCTGCTTGTTGTTGCCATGTCGGCTCGGCTCGGCGCGGCGCGGAAACCAAACACTGGTAGCGTCATTACGTCAAGAGACGTAAAATCATGTTGTGTTTAAGGTAACCGGAAAAAAATGTCAAAATTGGGACTAGTGTAGAATATGGTACACTTTGAGTTTAATTACAGAAAAAATAAAATAAAGAAATATGCTTCAACACATTTCATATCAGTCATTATTTTTGGTAGTTTATTAGAGAGTGTGTAAAGCTTCACAACAGTAATACTTGTACATTTTATTCACATCTTTTTGCAACAACAAAAGGATAATTTAGCTCCATTAGCTCATTATGGCAAATAGAATAACAGATAAAATAAAACAGATGTAAACAGAGAACAGGGGTGTTTTCAGTACCTTGAAACATTGGGTGCCTCCCCAGTTCAGAAAACTTCAGATTTTAAGCTGATAAATTCTATATTTTTAAGTTATTTTATTCTGTCATTTGAATGACACACATAGCATCCAAAATGGAGTCTACTTGTGTTTCTGATCAATGACAAAAAAGAGATTTATTGCATCAGCAGAGTGAGGGATAAATAAATCCAGGGATGTTTTTTTCAGCCTTCTTATTTTTGAGATTGTGGCTATTTTAAACTGTACAAATGATTGTTCGCATCCGTTTTAACACATTCATAATGTTGGTGTAATAACACAATATATAGATTACTTACTTTTAAGAAATTATTAGGCAATTTCAAACAAAGCTAAACAATTGCTATGTTTGCACATTGCAAACAACTTTGTGATGTCAATAGTAGCAAAAGTGCTCTTTGTTTCCATGCTTATGGGTAAAAAGCACATTTATGACTAATGATGAGTAACTTTACCTCACAAAGAAAGCAAACAATCAAGGAGCTTAATAAGAATCGAGCAGATTGACATTCGTCCTATCGGTACTTGAATGTAGCATTGGCGCGGTACTCATGAATGACAAGAAGAACAATCAGAGACTTCACCACAAATTAACAAATATCGCGTGTTAAAAATTATTTTTTTGCATCATAAACGACATATTTTCATGAATGCATTTTTTCAAGCTGTGGATTTTAAAATCTTCTCAACTTCCATACTTGTTCCCATTAAGTCTTTGGCTTGTTGAAACCACGAGTGAATGATCATTTTAGAATAGACTCATGACTTTGACATATTATCCATAAAAGCCAAAAACAACAAGCCAAAACGTTTAGATTGTTATTAGACTGACGCCCATATAATAATGTGTGATGATCTGTCGTGGATTTATATGGCATATTTCATTAAATGTGAATGCATTTTGCAATAAATATTGCTTTGAATTTATATGTATATTTCTACAGCCTAATAAAACTGATAAATTTTAACTAAGTAATATCAGATTTCCATAAATCTGTTTAGGCCTGCACACAGGACTGACATCCTTATTAGATATCCACACTGAAATGGTTTGTTATCTTTTAATGCAAAGATAAATATGTATTTACTGATTCAGAAGGCCATAAATCTGTTGCTTTTTCTTTTATCTGTATAAATCTGTAATAGCATTTTGAACTGATTCCGCAGCTGGACACAAAGCTTTCATATGAGCATAAATCAGCTGATGTAAATTAATGCAAAACGACATGTAGGCTTGGAAATGTCGAGGTAAAATTAAAAAATAGAGGTTTATGCTGATTTTAGACACATATTTATAGAATGTGTGAGAGTATTTAAAGGTATTTCAGCCTGACATACATCTTTAAATAGTTTCCTGTATGTTTAAAGGGGATTATCAAATTTTGGTTATAATATAAGTGAGTAAAAAAAAGTATTCCAAAGCTCCCAAACGCTGATCAGCACATTGATTTTCGTTGGTGCTGATGCTGGTGCCATGAGGATGAGCAGCTTCTCCTCTGATCCTCCGTCAGCCTCCGTGTGTTCAGTCCAGCATCAGCAGCTGCAGTGTGCACAGAGCGCTGCTGCAGCTCCATGTTCGAGGCTACAACAACTCCAACCCAAAAAAAAAAAAAAAAAACAGAAAAGAGAAAAGAACCCAAACCTCCCTCAGAAACCCCGCATGTGGTTTCCTCCTGCTGCCGCCGCCTCTCAGCACCGCAATGAAGGAATAAACTCAAGTCTCCCAGAAATGAGGACTTTTCCCCGCATCGACTGAACATCTGAGGACAGCGGACCTGTCGATTCTTACCTGCAGCATCCTCATCTATTTTTTTTATTTTATTTTATTTTATTTTTTACATTAAATTAAAAATCATCTTGTTTTATTTTCTCTCCGACTGGACACCGCAGGTTGAATAAATGGATAATAACGCTGCAAATTCGGAGAAATCTCACCTTATAGACGAGAAGAACGCAAAGATGTATTCCTTAAAACTGCAAAGGTGAGAATATTATCACGCTTCCTTGCATGGAGATTATTTCTGCATGTGTGGATATAATGTTCTGCTAAGTTCTGAAAAAAATCAGTGTTAAAATTGGCATGCATTTTATTTTTAAAAAATGCATTTAAAATAATGAAACCAACTATTTAATTGTGCCAAGTTTAAAGAAAGTGTGCAGTGGGGAGGATTTTTGTGATGCAGGGCGGCAATTTAAAGTGACAAAAAGTGGAATTATGTGCAGAGAGTGATGGGGAACAATCCGGTGTGTGTTGCAAAGGTTGGCAGTAACGTAACGAAGCGGCGGTGGGAGCGGTTGTTACTGTGGTGCATGTTAAGCAGGCTGTCGCTCTTTGCAGGGCTGTTTTATGTGAATGAACAAATTCATTTCCATGCTTGGCTTGTTTCTGGACAGCCTGTGACAAATGGCCCCGGGGCCAGTTCACTGAGCAATGCTAAAAACTCATCATCTGTCATTAGAGGGGGGCCATGCAGCGGCTCCCTGCGCGCTCAGCCTGCATGGGACGGGAGAGAAATCACCGAGAGCAGGAACACGGCGCGGTCGTGTAGCTGTTTACACCTGCAGGTGAGGGGGGCAGCAGATGTGATTGCATGAGGAAATGCAAGTCAAAGTCACCCACGAAGAACCTGGCAGCTTAGAAAAATCAAACCCTGTCTATTTATGCTCATAAAATAAAAATGACACCGATTAAAACAATGGTTCAAATTGTATTTTCTTATCCAGAGCATGCGTCTTTTGACGCAGCAACTGTTCTGCAGAAATGATCAGCTAGATGAAAGGTTATTAAAATAAATAGCACGCAGGCAATACAATTAACAAAAAAACTGGGTTAAAAATAACGAGAAAAACATTCAGTTTCAGATAAATGTGATTTTCTCTGCACAGTCAAACCTCTGCAACAGATCCCCCCTCAGCTCTGTTTGTGCAACATAAAAACCAGCTGCTGCAGACGCACACCTGGTCCTGCGCAAAAAGAAAACAGGTGGAGGCTCCTTTCAAAACGGCAACTATCAAAATACGTGGGATAAAATAAATTTGTGTTAAATTCCCTCGACCGTTACAATTTTCTGCAGATTTTCCGGAATTTATTTTATTTTCCAATCTTCACAGGCCTCGTGTTGCGCCCGTTTGCATCCATCTGATCAATAGCTGCTCCAGCCATATAGATCACAGGGTAGTTAAGTGAACTGAGCCCTCTGATGAACTCTTTCACGCTTTCAAATCGGCCATTTCTCACTGTTCTTAGAGAAAATATGCGGATAAAAAAAAGAAGTGAAGTGACACATTTTTTACGTTTTATGAGGCAGAGAGATAGAAGCTGCACCCGGTGGCAAATTTGTGCGTAAAAGGGCGATTTGCACCTTTCTTATTAGTAGTTTCACAATCATTTAGGCTTTTAAAAATACTGAAATTTATAAATATTACACAAAACAAATAGTTATTAGGCCTATAGAGGTTCTCAGAGAGGTGTTGAGGGACCGAGGCAGATGTGCATATGGCGCTACATTTGGGATTTCATGCACCATTTGCGCCCTTCTTGTGCTGAGTGTTCACTGTGTCATCGTTAGCATTTTTTTCCCCAGCTGGCACCGAAGTGTTTTATAAGGAGATGACATTTGGTGTTCACATCTAGACCTGGAGATGTGCAGTATAAGCAATATGTTTTATAAAATCTGCAAAACTAAAAAACAGAAACACATGATAAAATGAATAAGTAAAAGGCATATTTACTCCAGATTTGTTCATTTGTTAGAAGTTTGCATCATTCAATAAGAAGGGGCCCTCCCTCCTCCGTTTGGTGGCCCTTTTCTTTTAAAGGTTTCAGTGTATCCTGAGCACGTTAGTGTTTTATCAAATTACATCTTTGTTTTAAGCAGAAAAAGTCAGATAAGTTCATCTTATACCATCACAGGACAAACTGTAACTGATAATTATTGTCTTTCAGTGTATAAAATGTCAGGAAACAGTGTGAAAAGAGATCATCTGTGAAATATGAAACAATATTCATATTAATATAGCCACGACTAGCCTAAAATTCAAACATGTTGAGGTTATTATCTTATACTTTTACTGGTGAAATGAGCAAACATTCACGTTTGGGGAAAGTAAGACCAGTGAGTTATTTTACATAACAATTAAATAGTTATTAAAATTGTCCACAATGTGTTTTCTGTCAATCAGTAAATTATTAATCATACAATCACTTCAACATTAAGGCCAGTTCATACTTTCTATGTCTTTGTGTTTCCAAGATATGACTTAAATCGTGTCCACTACTCAGTCTATATGCAGTCCAAAATTTGCAGTTTGTAAGCACTAAAAGTGCACCGACTGCACCTTTACCAGGAAAACAGATGGTGCCTAAAACAACTGCTTCTTATGAGGAGAGACTGTGCAAGGAGATTCTCCGTCATTCACCCCTTTATAACTAAATATTAGAAGAGTTACAATTACAGTAGTCGCTGGTGAATTTTAGAGGCGTTTTATTTTGTACATGTTTTCCATCGATGGAGCCCAAACACAGGTGGAGGTTTTAAAGAATGCATGTGTGAAAAGAACCACATTCAAAGTGCAGATCAGTCATGCAGAAACCATGAATTCAGCTTTAGATTCCTGTTTGGTTTCTGGGGAAACAATGCAGCTGGCTGTATATTGGGGGTCAAAAGGGGCCCAACAACTCATGTTTGCCCCCTGGGCCCTTCATAAGGTGAATCCGGCCGTGCAAATAACCCTTTTTCAGGTGTTTATAATATATACCTGATGGGTTTGTTGAGAGTATTTAAATATTATCATCAAAACTAATAATACAAACAGAATTCAGATTATCAGAATGTGAATGATTTCTGCTGAGTCAGCCGTTGAGTGGTAGAAAACTAACTGGAGCTACTTTGATAATCAACTGAAATAGTTTCTTTAACAAATATGGTAATCAAGAGACTATCTTTGGAATTAAGACAAAACAAAGAAAATTTGCTAGAAAAAAAATCAAATTTAGAAAATATTTGGTAATATAACTGATGATGAAAACAATAATTAGCTAAAGCCCCAGTCCAGTAATTAATAGAGTCGATAACAAAGGGCTCAGTAGTTGTTTTACGTTCTAATAAGCCACCAGAAAACATCAATAAGTCATTAATGGAGGGATTGTTTTGGCCTACGTGCTCTGCAGCTCCACAGATGAACATGACTGATCAGGGAGACCCTTGTAGGAGAGTTACAAAGACCATAATCTACTAATTATTGTCCTAGTTAACTGATTGGTTGATTGGTCTGTACAATGTCAGCCGAATGCAAAGGTTCCCAGACACCAAGATGATGACTTGTTTTGTCTTAGCAGCTGTCAAAAACCCAAAGATATGCAGCTTGGGGTCATAACAAAGTAAAGAAAAGCAGAAAATAATAACTTTGGAGACACTGGAACTAGTGAGTTGTGTTCGTATTTAATTTGCATTTTCTTTTGATTAACTAATCAATGGATTAACTAATTGTTGCACATCTAAAAAAAAAAAAAAAAAAGATATGTCAAATTCATTTAAACACAATGATTTCCATCTGTCGTGTTACTACTGTTCCTGACACTTAGAGACAGACAACCAAGCACACTCACATTCACACCTACGGCTAATTTAGAATCACCAATTAACCTCAACATGTTTTTGGACTGTGTGGGAGGAAGCAGGAGAGCCTGGAGAGAACCCATGCGGCGACCTTCTTGCTGCGAGGCAACAGTGCTAACCGCCGAGCCACCTTGCAGCCCCAGTTCCAATATCATATCTTCAAATTGCTCTTTTTCCTCCCACAAGCAGATCATAACCCAAAGATATTCAGTTTACATTGACGTGAAACAGAGATGGTAGCAGCCAGTGTTTGATGCAATGTGACTCTAAACAGGACTTCTGATGCACTGAGGTGGGCAAAGTCTGCAAAATCACCCAACAAGTTCACAAATATAGTTGCGTTTTTATAGCAGCTAAAAACAACAATGACAAAAACCCAAGTACTGCCCAGTAATAAAACACTAGAGATGATGACTGAACATCGTGAGTAAATAACATGTTCACACTGTTTTCACTAAAAATCATTCAAAGAGTCAAATCTGTGGTATAGTACACACAAAATCAACACATTCATAGCACTACTTGCCAATTCATTACAGGGTTCGTATGATATGACCCATCTACTAAAGCCTATTTACTGGCTCGTTTGCTCACTGTTAAGTGAGATGTTTCAGGCAGCGCATGAAGGAAGCATCACTGGCTGCGGGTTATTGGGCGTCTGGCAAAAGATGCTGAGTCTGTCACTGTTGCAGCCTCCAGAAAATTCCTCTAATAATAAGCGACAAAGTCAGTCTGGCTTTTCAAAGACTTTGGTCACCAGCCTGCTCTCTGGTAGCTGGTAGTAAGTTTTTAACAAACTATGAGTCATCTTGTAAAATGAAAGCTTTGTAGGAGCCACAGTTACTGATTCCTGATGCTACTGTAGAAAATCTTTATTGGAAAGTACCGACTTTGCATTTTAAACTGCAGGGTATACACACATCCACAGAAAGACTCATGGACATCCTCAGACGACAAAATTTATGCCAATCAGACCCTTGTGGATCATTGTATACTTGCGAATATGGAAAGCATGACGCTAGCCTGACAGTCCAAAGCCCTGCCAATGAATCTGTGAAGCTGCATCTCGCTAAATACATAAGTGTGCTGACATGCTAATGCTAAGCACTTACGATATGGTCACCATCTTTACATGAGCAGTGGCTAAATCAAAGTAGATAAATTGAAAAACTAACTAGATGATGGAACCAGTCACCACAGTTGTTACAGTTCATCCTGAAGTAGACATGAATGTCTGCACCTAATTTGATGATAATTCATCCAATAGTTGTTGAGATAATTCACACCAGAGTAGTAAGGCCTCATCCTCACTGCATCTTGGATATCTATACCAACTCACAGGGGAATCTGTTCATAAGTTTTTC